TCGTCTTACAGACTCAATCTGGCTTAAGATATAAGCTAAGCCTCGGTCTTACGATTTAGAGCGGGCTGGTACTTGGGCAGGAAGTTGTCAATACCAATACACAGGCAATGGAAAGTAGCAGGACGCCAGCCATGTAGCCCGGTGGAAAGATTCTCGTGGCAAAACTATAAAGTCTAAAGTCATTAGGTGGGTTCGGCCACCAATAACGCAGGCCAACAAAATTTGACAAAGTTTCCCAGAAACCAGAATATACTTTCCCGAAGGATTTTGCTGCGCTGAATCCAAATTTGGCCGCAGAATTGCTCTATCACGTCAGGTTTTTGAGAAATTCTAATTCATTTTGACCATTTTTGGGTCATTCAACTTTTATTATGCCTAAAAAAGTACTCAGGGTATACTAAAGTTCAAGTCCTTAGCTTTCAAATGATGTTTCCTCAAATGTAATTTTTTTTCGCTGAGATAGTAGTGAACAGGGTTTACTTAGTTTAGAGGCTTGTAGTTCAGTTAAAGGTTTGCTTTGCTGAACTCGTGGTGGGCAGTATTTGATTGGTTTTGAGGCGAAAATAATGATATTGAAGCTAACTTAACGTCATTTATAAGCTGAAGACTTAAAGTTTAAGATACCATGTATATCTGTGTGTGTGCACTTTTAGGTTAGAATATCTCAAAAACCTGATGTGATAGAGCAATTCTGAGTTCAGCGCACCAAAAACCCAAAAAAAAATGTACTCTGGTTTCTGGCTAAAAATTTTGTTGGCCTGTGTAATTTAAAGTAATGTTAATTAGGAGTACTAACTGTATGATATGTAAATCTAGAATATTCAACGTCGTTAAACTACTTCGTACTGTACTATACTGTCTAGTTTGTAGGTATTCATTTTTAAAAGAAGCTAAAAATTGGATAAAGCTCACTTTGACATGATCCTGATTAAAACACCCACAGATTATAAGACCAATAAAACTAACTGTGGCCGAAATAAGATAAAAAATAAGACACACTTTTTCAGAGTGAATTTTATTATTATTTTTATTCTGAACATCGTAGTAGGGGTCCAGAGTTTGTGTCAACTTATGAGCCAGTGAGTGAGTTTTGAAGAGTTCGTTGACAGAGTTAAGGTTTGTTGTCTCGTTGTTTCTGACGGTTCGTGATTAAGTGCCTCGAGTCTAATAACTCACGAATGATTGATACAGAGTTTCATAAACCAGGTGAACTCGTTTAATAGCTTCAGTTTGAGATTAATAAGTTTAAAAGTATTTATAGGACAGTTGAATACCTGCATATTATTATTTAAACAGAATGTGCGGCGCAAAATACCTTCATATTAAAAAAAAACTAACTGATTTTCAACAGGATAATCAGGGTACAAGTTTTAGTTTAAAAAAAATACTTTGTAAAAAATCGGTTGGTTTTTATTGAAAAGTTATTGTAAAAATTGCATAGGTGCACATAACCGGTTTATATTTTTTTTAAACTAATACTTTTTTACTTTATATTTCTTTTTTTTAAAGACAACTCCCGCATTAGGAATATATCCTGTGTCGCGGAGGACTTTACAAACAACAATTTGTGGATCACACAAAGTGTCGTCCCATGTAGGCAGCGTGGCGAACGCTTAAACCACTACGCCATCAGTCGAAATTATCACGTTGAAAAACCCAAATTATCACATTGAAAAACCAGCCAGTTTTTTTTTTTAGATCTGAACTTTCTCAGCCTGCACTACTTCACGAATAGTAAACAATCATTTTAGTAATCACACCTTGAAAATCTTTCTTCCTTAACGGTCGCTGTTTAAACTTAAAAAAAAATGTATTGGATTTAATTACATATTATATTATTTTTGGTCAACACCAAAAGCCACTGTAGAAGTTTTACCGTGAAAATGGTAATTCAAATAAGAAACATAATAACATGCAATTAATACATTTGAATTTTTTTCGAATATTAAAGCGAATTTTACTGCTACAAAACTACCACATAAACAAAATGAGATTATGAAAATAATAAAACGTCAGTAAAACGACAAAGCTAATAATCCACCGCATCTCATAAAGAATATTGTACCAACTTCTTGAGGGTGGTCTTAATAAAATTTTGATCTCTATAAACAAACAATTCATATTCATAGAGAACAATGATTCACTGGCAGGTAAAATAAATTACGCAGTAAGAATTTTAAGAAAAAAAATGATCCAGTGAATTTACTTGCAGATCACGTTACTATTACATAGGAGCTAAAGTACAGTATCTTTAAATGAGGGTGTATTCTTTAAGAGTTTATGTCTCACTGCAAGGGAAAAGGCTTTTCAACAATAATTATTAGTTTATCTGATAGTTTAAGTGAATTTATACAGACGCGTTTATGCACATACTCACGTACAGCTACTATCGTCATGTAACCACTTAAATAATAATAACACTTGTTACAGACTGGTCTGGATTTAATTTCCCACACATGGGAATATACATAATTGTGTTAGAAGCGATATCATATTGTTTCTGGATGTAATTAAAATGTGATGTTTATGAATTTAGTAATTTATGAGAATGTTTATTAATAGTTTGGTTCCAAGCAACGGCTTTGCCTTTTTTTTACGTGTGGAAACCCCCTCGAGCCGTCACCCCACCGGGGCTTGCGGCGGGATGGTGTGTCGAAATCGGGCCGACTTCAACCACACGGTGTACCACTCGGCGCTTGTAATAGGAGGGATCCGGGAGCTACTGTTATTAAGTCATCCGGACCCCTCCTAGCGCCTGCCTGCAATGTCAGACAGCCTTATATGATCGTCTGAAGCGCGGTTAGTTTTTTTTAATTTGTTTAAGCAGTGACCCAGCAACGAATGATAATAATAACAATAATATTGTCACACATTTCACACTAGTTATGTTACTTTCACTAATATATAAGTTCTTCTTATGAGGCTTAAGAGGCCTATGTCCAGCAATGGACTATTAAAGGCTGTTGATGTGATGTGATAATTGAAAGTCAAAATGTTGTCGAAACTTGCAACAAATACGTTACTGTCAAACCATTTATTTTTAAAACAGTAACGAGTCACATGAATTTTATAAAATTCTTTATTTCCTGAAGTACTTATTATATAATTATAACGGCATGCAACTATCCTACCCTTTTCCTCAGGATAGAAATAATTCCTTAGCGATCGAAAACACGGGTCCACAAAAGCTAAATTCTTTACGCTTTATTCTATGATGAATCCGGTTAACCTGACAAGAGTCCGACTAATATTTTCTCACAGCACATTACCTAAGTGCACTTGGTCCGTAAGCACCGGTCTATAACTGTTATAAGAGAGCATTATCAGACATTTCCACATGGTTGGAGACAAGACGCATGGCCAATGCGATTGCCTGTCCAATCAGTGACAATTTGTTACATTATTCTCTGCATAAATTGACCTCTTCATTTCCCTTTTGTGATACCTTACAAGTATCTAGGTAGGTATAGGTATCATAAACTTCACTTCACTTGTAAGATACCATGAGAGTATTTTAGTAGATATGTAAATCATACAGGCATTAGTTTACGTATTAGTAAAATTATTGTCAGCTATGTACTGATAGAAGTTAACACGAGACGGATGGATTCTAATGACATTTTTATTTTATTTAGCCAGTACTGTAGATGGAATAACAGATACTCCCTATAGCTACTTATTTTGTGTACTTATTACAAACGATGAAATAGAACATCGATACTTGTATTGTTTTTAGGCAAATAAATAGCAATACAGTATTCTTCTTCTTTTTAAAAGCTTTTAATCATCTGCTTCCTCAAAATTTGCAAATGACTCTAACATCTTTTCTTAATTTCTTCTTGATTTTAAATATCTGTTGTACTGGCTGTTCGAAGGATGTACAAAATCATGTATGAAATATTTCCGCGTCCACTGCACTTAGTAATCAAATACTTACAACGTATTTGTTAAGGAAATAAAATAATTATTGAAGTAAAAACTTCTTTAGGCGCGTTAAGCATTTTAGAACAACAAACAAAAAAATGAATTTTTTAGATGGAAAGAAACCATTGAACTCGCGACGCTGTTACCGTTACCGACACCTCACTATATAAGTATCTACATATATTGGCCTCGTTTACACGCGAATTGATTTTGGGTTGAAATACATTAATAATATAAGTGTATACAATATAAACATATATCACATGTCATGTCGGAACTTTTCAAACAAAAGAATTTTTCATGTTTTCACTTCTGTCGATACTCCCGGACTGCCACTGTTTTTTTTTTTTACGGTTTCTTGTAACGGGTTTATTTTCGTCAGCAGATCTCCTCGGATATCCCCCACTGTTAGGAGAGGCACCGGCTGGTAGGAGAGTTAAATTGGACTCGAACCGACTAAAAAACCGCACACCATCTCGGTTACCAGAAATGAATCTTCTTCTTCATCTTACCCCGCCCTTTTGTACTTATTTTTATGGTAGAGGGGGCAGACGAGTAGACTTGTCACCTGATGGACAGTGACCATCGCCACCCATGAACGTCTGCAATTTAGGAGTCACAACCGCAGTAGTCCACTAAGCAGGACAACAGCACTGCAAAGAGAAGGAAAACTTGAAACAAACCCTATACCAACCCGTCTGGCCAGCGTGGTATAGTAGGCCAAAACCTCCTTTCTAAGGAGAGGCCTATGTCCAGCAGTGGACTAGTATAGGCTGTTGATGATGATGATTGATGAACCGCAGTAGGCAACACTAAATATCTGTCACAATGACAATGTCACTGTGACAAAGCACCGATAAAAACACCCCTTAATTCCGTGTTCCATACCTATTGTATTTATATTTTTTAGCATTTAGAATGGAAATGTCTATAAAATAGTATGCGTTAGAAAAGGAGAGAAAATCTAGCACACAAGTTATTGTGGTTGTCAAATTCTATCGTTCGTTATAGTGATGCTGTTTGCAGTGATAAAGTTTATTATAAATATTTTATTTATTCATTGAAAATTGTTAACTATGGCGTCTTCTTCCAAAGATAGTGTTCCTACAACCAGTAGCCAGGAGAATCCGCCAGATGAACTGGAACCGGGAGCATGTCACGAGAGCATTTTAAATCCTACAGATTCTTTCGAGGAATTTGCTTCTGAAATGAGTTCTAGTTTACAGGAGCGAAATATTTTGCTTAATACCAAGAGTAGTACTATTCATGAGATACAAAGTGAGATCGGTGAGAGTTTGAAAGAAAATACTCAAATAAAGTCTACGAAATCTACTGATGATCTGCAGGGCAAGGAAGTAAGATTTTTTTTAAGTGAACTTATCCCTGTACCTTCACCTTGATGAGATGCGTCTTGGTTTAGTTTAATTGAGTTATCTACGATGTTTATCACAAAGCTATTTGGAGTATTATTTATAATATGAACTGTGTTGTGCTGTTACAATTCAATCCACAAATAGGTTCATAAAGTCAACTGTAGAAGATTATCTGTGACTAATTGTAATACAAAAAGCAATGTAAATTATATAAATATATGTGGTGATGAATAGATTGCCAATCATAATAGTAAAAAGTGTTTTTTTGTAGTAAGATTTATAGTGGTTTACTATTATTAACTTTAAAGTTAGTTAATTATGGGAATTGTACAATTTCTACACAACATTATCGAATTAGCTTTCATAAACATATATTATTTAAATATTAGGTCGTATTTTTTATATTAGTAGTAAGACCTGACTGACCGACCAACGAGAAAGAAAGTGGAAAGAGAACTTGAAACAAACTCTATACCAACGGGTTTGGCCAGGGTGGTATAGTAGCCCAGACCTCATTTCTAAGGAGAGGATCTATGTCCAGCAGTGGACTACTAAAGGCTATTGATGATGGTGATGATCCATATTTGAATGTAATTCTTTGTGTCACTGAACAAAAATGGCGCACAGAAGCACATCATGTTAAAAAGTAGAAGAGAGAGAGATGTGCAGAAAGCTAAAATTGTTAGGCAATATGAGCTGTGAATTTAAATGAATGTAATAATGACTACAGTATAAGAGTCTAGTATATATTTTGATCGAAAGTCCATATTATAACAGTTTAAGTTGTACTGGTCAAGAAAATAAATCGATCCATTCAAAATGATTGAAATTTTACCTCCACACTAATACTAACTCTGCATATTGTTATATTTTTGCTGAGATATAAGGTTTCCAATTAATTGAATTAACCAGCCTGATTTATTTCTATACAAGTCTACAACTTAATAGTTTCATAAAGTTAACGTTTCTAGGAGTCCATGACAGCTTCAACTAGCAATTCAAACTTGATAGATCAAAGTGAGGATGACACAGATAATGAAAAAGATGATTATCTTCAATCACCTGAATTAGTAAACAAAGAAAAACATGTATTTATATTGAGTTCTGCGGGAAAACCTATCTACTCTAGGTAAGTATCTTATTGTAACTGATTATCATATCATATTAAATTAAAATCTAACTTACCATTACAAGAGACTTAGTGTCTGAGAAAACTTATTTTGGGGGTCAACAAGGCCTAACACAATTTGTTATTTGATACTTTTAAGGTAATTAGTTCTGTTATGTGTACTAACTTGTTATAAGAATGACTAATGGTTTAGTAGAAAGTATTGTTGTTGTACTTTAAAAAAAATAACAAGTTGATAAGCTTGCAGTAATTTTCCTATGGGGGTCTCAGTTATCAGTTTATATTAGAAAAGGGGTCTGTTGCTCAAAATAGTTTGTGAATCCCTATTGTAGATGAAAGGTAATGTAGGTATTTATATATGTCATTAATGTAAAAATGTCATTTGTACAATGATTTATGAATAAGACTTGCAGTAAAACAGTCTTAGAATAGATTTGTTTGCATTTAGAAATAGACGCAAATGAGTCCTATTAACAATGTAACAGTTTAACATGTTAAATCATATCAAAAGTATGCAAACATTAATTTATTTATTTTATAGTAATCTTTATGACATACATTACCAATTTAACTCCTACCTAGGAAAAAATTAGTTTAGCTGATTGAGCTTAAAATAATACTAAAAATCTACAGTTTATACTATGTAGTTGTCTTTATAAAAATATTATTGTATGGCTAAGACGTATGAGTTGCGATCGAGTGGTTGAAGGTTAGAACTAGTGAGAAGCCACTACTAACATTACCATTAATAAAAAAAAATGTGTCACCCAAATTTACATTATTCCTTAAAAAAATAAGTTTATTGTTTAGAGAATTTTACTTCATTGCTGTTGGGAGCCATAGACGCTACCTAAACTGCCTAAGCTATGTGCAGGTCTGCAATTTAACAAATCGTTGACAACATAAATTTTCATATAAATTAAATATTTCAGGTATGGCAATGAAGATAAATTAGCAGGTCTTTGTGGTGTCATCCAGGCTTTAGTTAGTGTAGTAGAGGAACAGAACCAAGATATATTAAGGTCTATCACAACTAAGGATTGCAAGGCAGTGTTTTTAGTCAAGGGACCTTTGATATTGGTTGCAGTTTCTAAGTCAAATGAAAGTGAGACACAACTTGTACTACAATTAACGTAAGTTGATTTCTTCAGTCATAAGCTCCATAAGAAAGCTAAGGGAACAGTATAGATGCATGTTGTTCATACTTTTTTAAGTTTATTTAAAAAATGAATTAAAATGTAACTTTCAGGTATGCATTCAATCAAATAGTATCAGTACTTACATTGACTCAACTGAATAGAATATTTGAGCAAAGAAGAAACTATGACTTAAGAAGGCTATTGTCTGGAGCAGAAAGACTTATAGACCATTTACTTATATTTATGGAGAAAGATCCAGCATTTTTATTGGGTAAGTATATCACAAATACTGTAAAGTGATGAAGCGTACTTTTCGCTACGTACATTACGCGTGCACACATGATACAATCGACTTGTGTACTAAGTACTGTCCACGTGCACGCGTAGTATAGTCTACGTACACGCGTAGTACGTAGACTGTACTGTACCACACGATAAAACTTGCCAAAGATGTTCTGTTAGTCATAGACAATGTCATTGAAAATTTAATTGTACCCGAAAACAAATCGAAAGCCAATCTGAAAGTGTCAATATTCTTTCTATAAACATAATTTATGTGCGAGAATAAAAAATTAAAAATAATGTATGTAAACATTTTAACCGTGGGAGAGCCATGCTTCGGCATAAATTGCCTAGTTCCACGGGTGTGATACCACGGCCTGACAGAAAACTGGTGTTAAGCAAATCTTGCGTTGCTTTTTCACCGACTGCTTTTCACCCTTTTAATTTTGAGGGAGAGGATTCACATGCAATGCACTTGTGACTCGTGAGTTGCATGTGTCTATGGTCGGCTGTAGTTACTTACCAGGTGACCCGTCTGCTCGTTTGCACTCCTATGCCAAAAATAAAAACAATTTATCTAGTATGTTCTCTTTTTAAATGTTTACAGCAACAATAGATAAATAATATAATAAACGTAACATCTTTACTTAGTATAAAATAAAGTCGCTTTTTTGTTTTGTACGCTTAGATCTTTTAAACTAAGCAACAGATTTTAATGCGGTTTTTACCAATAGAGAGAGTGATTCAAGAGAAAGGTTTATATGTATAATATGTGCATATTATACTAGAGGAAATCCGAAAATTTCAAACATTTGTCGTAAAAAACGTATTTTTGTCAGCTTACATTGCAAACGGTGGCTGAACTTTACAAGATAGACCAAAATAATGTTCTACGGAATTGTATATCTTAAAAAGATCTACAAAAAAATCTGCAATAGTATATGTCTATCACCTAAGCATAACCCACAGTAACCATTTTATCTGTTAAATATTACAAAAAATTAATGGGTTATTTACGAAGCTATTTCAAACAATACATTATTATTCCTTATCCCATTAAATACGTTAGATACGTTGTGCATTTAATGTAGATTAGAATTGCTCTTAACAGTATATCATTACAATTAATATTTTATAAGATAGAGGTTTAAAATGCGGGGGCCCAGCGACCATCGAGCCGTATGTCCGTCCAGGGTGGCAACGGCTGGCAGGATCGGAGCGGGCCTATAAATATTGCGTTTTAGAATGTCCTGTAAGGACTACAGGACATCATAATAATGGTATAATTAATTACTCCACACTGTCACCACATTAGTAGTATCTACATTCCACCTGTGCAAAGCCAGGGCGGATCGCTAGTAATATTATAAAACAATTAATTTCTATTTCAATCCTATTTATCAGGTGCAGTTAGATGCTTACCACTACCCGAAAAAGCCAGGGAAAATATCACAAGTGCTATTCAATCAACCTGCAGCAAAATCCGGGACCTGGTTTTCGCAATTATGCTAGCAGGCAACCAGTTAATTACACTAGTTAGGATGAAGAAGTACACTCTGCATCCGTCGGATATACATCTGTTGTTCAATCTTGTCAGAAGCTCAGAGTCTTTTAAAACAGCTGAGAGTTGGACGCCAATCTGTTTGCCGAAGTTTGATTCGACGTAAGTAGCGTTCTCTTAATACTATTCTTATATTAATTAATAATTAAAACTTTGTCGAATAGGGTGATTGATCAATATATTACACAAACCATTTAGAGTTTATCAGTGGCATGTAAACCACATCATCTTGACGTGTTATCAGTAATAATCTAATATGTGTTCTGTGCTCACAAGCCAAGGCTGATAAATTAAAAGTGCTTGACACAAAGAAACATCAAAGTCCAAAAGTTGACTGCACGGAGGGCATAGTGATTTAAGCGGTCACCTTGCCGCTTCTTACTGAGTTGAGATTTGTGGGTTCGATCCCCACATTGGATAACACTTTGTGTGGTCCAAAAATTGTTGTTCTGAGTCTGGGTGTTTTTTGTGTCCGCTTCATGAATGTTTGTTAAGTCCCCTGCGACGCAATATATGTTCCTAGTGCCTGAAAAAATGGTTTGGGGTTTTATTTCAGAGGTTTTCTCCATGGCCATGTGTCCTACATCTCAGAAGACTGTCAAGCCTGCCTTCTCCTTCTTACAGTACAAAGAGATGCATTCTTTCCACTCTCACAAGCAAAGCACACTATTGCCGAAAAGCTCCGACGATCGAACTGTTTAGTTGCCATAAACGACGCGTTGAACAGAAACGAGGAACTACCGACAACAAATCCCTTGAAACATATTGGTATACCAGAAATAAGGCATTTTATGTACAAATGTAAGTCAACAGCCCAGCTGTTCACTTCAGACCCAATTAGTTTGGATAAGTTACAAGATTATAGGATAAGGCACAAAGAAGGTGGAGATATTTGTGAGAAGAAAGTGGAAAAACTATCTGATATAGATTATGTAAGGAACTACAGACAGTTTTGTGCTCAAATCCATTGCATGTCCACACCGGCCAAGTTGATTTTTAGGTCGAACTCACATGACACAATTTTAGCTTGGGTGAGTAATTAATTATTTTTTTATGTTAAGCCGTAATAAGCTAAGTCTCTTTTTTATGAGTCCCATTGGAATTTAGGGTCTCTAAAATTCGAAGGTTAATGAAATTAATTAATTTAAGTAACATAAAAAACTTAAAAAATATATTTTGAATTTTGAAACCTAATGTGTAATAGTGTTCCAGTTTTTTTAAATCTATCTTTACTTACAAAAATATCTAACTGAAGAAACAGATGATTTAACATTCAAAATGTTTGGAAAAAATAATCTGGATTTTTCATTTCAGATAACCCACGGTTTCGAACTATACGTCACGTTTGACCCTCTAATGGAGAAAGATCAAGCAATAAGAGCAGTGGATCGTCTACTGAAATGGATCAAGAGAGAAGAACAGAGAATCTTCATTATGCACGCGCCTACATTCTAGCCCAAGTTCACGGTGCCTTCATTAAGTGGCATGATTAAAAACTCTCGTAGTTCTAGTGCTGATGAGTGATTGGTTGCTGCCCGTTGATGACCGAACTACAAAAAACAAATTATTCTTTGCGATTGGTAATAATGCCTGAGAAAAACACCGGCCTGTATTTTTAATACTCACCGATTTTTTTAAAGACGATTTTCTAAGGAGGAGGTTGTATACAATTCATTTGTATTTTTTTATATTTGATATCTAAGGCTCATTTAAAATCCCATTTGGATTCCTTTTTTGTCTATTTACTCCACTAGTAAACGATTGGTAAATTGTGTTGTCTTAACAATAAATTTAAATTAATTATTCAACGAAACAAGGCGTAGGTAGGTACCGACAAATTTAATGATGACCTTCCGAAAGTCTTGATAGCGTCCATAATTTTTAAGGTTCTTTGAAAACTTCTATAAATTCAACTACTGCAACAAAAAGAAGTATACAGCCTACTTGTCGTTCAACAACTACTTACCATAACCTATATATCTATAACTCCTTTGGATCTTTCGGAAAGATCTTTGGAAAAGTATTCATTTGCAGTAAAAACACCAAAATTCTTTGGAACACACATTAATTTGATTATTTCTAATTCAAGTATACTTAACTCGGACATTCTTAAAAATAAGTTTTGTAGATATTCGTGTCAAGTAACAACAATTAGTTACTAAAACTTGATGAAAGTCTATGAATGTTTAGTATCCTCTGAATATACTTACTACTCTGTATTTTCAGTCAGTCACTCAATATTCTTAAATATTATGTGGAACATACAATATATTTAATATTGACAATTAAAGGAAACGATTTTCGGGGAAAAAAGAACCCACTCAAGTTACCTCCTTTCAGCTTCATGGTTCTTTTTGATGAACTTTGTTTAATTAAACCATCACCGTACAGCTCTCTTATGATAAATAACTCCGGTAGAGTTCGAAAATAATAAGAATTTCAAAATGAATGTTATTTTTTTATTCAAAATAAGTTACAGGGGCAGATATGTTGCTATGTAAATATAAAAGTAGTAATTCTCGGGTTATTATCCTATTTCCTAGGTTCTCCCAATGTGCCACATTGATGCAAGTAAAAGGTATTATGAAACAGTATCGCACATTGTATCGTTTGTGATAGTACGTACGTACGTGGTACGTGGAATTGGGCTTACGACACTAAATTACGAACATATGCATTTTCGATGATGCACTTGCTCATTTATTTTATACCTTATGTATAATCGCAAATGGTTTATAGTTGTATAATTTGCAAGAAATGTTTATGTAAATTGAAAACTCTTTATTTGTACTCCGTTCTTGCAAGAGTCGTATCATATACACGTACGTATACTAATGTCAGATACTACAAATGGCGGCTTTATAGCTTTGCGCAATCTCTTACAGGCATCCTCTGTAGTGTATTCGAATTTTGAAAATATTACCAAAAAATGTATAAAATTTTAAAAAGTTTTGTTATTAAGACTTCATGTTAAATTTGTTATAATCATCTGATGTTTAAAATGTCATGCTCTCCATTCTTAACGTCTATATTTTTAAATATTCGCGTTCAATGATCTTTCATTATTCGAGAAGTAACTCGATTAATATTTTGCCATATTGCACTGACTATCACAGGCTGACTACCACAAGCGCAACCTTAACCATATTTAAATATTCTATACCTACGTCTTCCAATAGAGATCGGACTATTAACCCTCTTTGATTATATAAAAAAGGAGGTTGCCTATTCTACAAAAGTTTCAAAGGTAAAATAGACAGAAAAGCAATTTGAGGTCTAATGTCGTTCTAACTTACAGTCTGTTTTTTAATCTCGTAGACTAAACTGACATTACGAGTGTTGTCAGTTTATTGCAATTCTTAAATAGTGATGTGGCACAACCGAAACTTAGCGTTAATAAAATCAAGTATCGTTTTTTTACAATAAGTTATCCTGAAATAATGTGTAGGTACTTATTTAAAACGTAATAATACAACATTAATAATGTAAAACATATATTTTTAATTACACAACTTAATTACAGGTATTCGCGTTAATCTGATTCAGATAATGACTCCATGTCTGAGGAATATTCTGAATCATCAGAATCGCTACCTACTTCTATGATAAACCTATAAGTAATGTCGTCGGTTATATGGCCCAGATGACACATTTGATTTTCAATTTTAATTACATGGACTACACAGTCTTTCCGCCGCTGCGGGGTCACTTGACGAAGCCCTTCTTCAAAAAGGCTTCGTACTTCATTCATTTTGAATGTTTTATTATTTTTAGCGACATGCCCCTTTACTTGAGCCCAGACCAACTCAATCGGGTTTAGCTCGCAGTGGTAAGGGGGCAGTCGCAAAATAGTGACACCCCGTTCAGCAGCCATCTCGTCGACGACATACCTTTCATGGGCTTTTTTGTGCTTTCGGGCATTTTCATTTAATTCGGGCTTTAACATTGTCTCGTCATATGAAATATTTTTTGATTTTAGCCAATCTTGGATTTGCCCTTTTCGCCAACTAGAAGTAGGTAACGATTCCAGTTTCCTGGTGTGATATGGAGCATTATCTATTACAAGTACTGCGTTTCCTTTTAATTTCGGCAAAATATTTTTTAACCAGTTTTCGTATATATCAAAAGTCATCTCCTTGTGGTAATCATCTAGCCCCTTTTTCGCTTCGAATATTAATAGACCATCATCCACGAAATCCTCTTCGCTTCCAACATGGGACACTACAAGTCGTCTCCCCTTGCCTGAAGGCCCTTTTAACCCAGTGGTTAACCCTTCTAAGAAAGCCTGACGTGATGAGTTCACACTGGTGTCCACCCAGTGCTTATTCTCAGTATGACCTAAAATGAATTAGTATGTGTGTGAACAAAATAATAAAAAAACATAAATACCTACTAATATAATAAAAACAGTCTCGAGAAACAAGTAAAATTAAATGCTTATGTTAGTACCAACCTTCATTAATCCACGTTTCATCTTGATAATATATAGAACGACTTTCCCTACGATACTGTTTTATTTTTTGCAAATAACGATGCCGCCATAAAGTTATGTCATCTCGGTCAATTAATACACTGCGGTGTTTTAAAAGAGTGAAATCGTCCAATTTGTTTTTGAAATCTATTTTAGGGCCAGGTATTTTCGGAGAGTTAAAATTTTCATTTTCTTTGTGCTCCTTCAGCACGTTGTAGATTGAAGCTCTGGATATGTTTAATATTTCGGCAGTTTTTAAAACACATTCGTTTTTTTTCGGCGTCTCGGTTGGAGATTCGGTTTTCTTTTCAGAATATACATATTTGTTCTCTCTTCGTTGTTTTTTCACCTTTAAGTCCTTAATAACGGACATACTAGCACACATCAAAACAATGTTGTGATATATTTAATAGTGCCATTGTATCTACTTGTGAATTGCAAAAGAGTGGCCATGAGTTTGTTTGCCCTTTCTTCTCATAAGGCTCAACCCCTTGGAAACGGGCGGTTGTAGATCGGCACAGGCATATCATAGATTTTGTATGGGTTTGATTTTGTTAAATTTATTTGGTTACTATTTGACAAAACAGAGATTGTTGCTTTTGTGTGTGTTGATCTATGACTTTAGAGTCTACATGGAAGACGATTTCAAACAATTTTGAAAATTTTATGAAATAAAGAAAGTTTGAGTTTGAGTTTGAGTTTGTAAGCGTTCATGATCATTTCTTTTTCGGTTTGGCTAAATGATTTGAGCTTTTGTTTTTTTCTTGGCGATAGAGTTTCTTCATTAAGGCTGAGCGTCCATCATAAATGATTAAGCGAAAACAAACGTAACGTAACAAACGTTTGGTAACGTAACAAAACCACAAAACTTAACAAAAAACAAACAAACAGAAACAAACTCAACGAAAATATAACAAATAGCACTTGAAATTGTATCAAGACACAACGGACGCATTCGAACACTTCAGAGGTTGAAGGACGCATAAGGTAAACAAAATGGCGTCCAGTGTTGTTCCTGTGAAATTTAGGGTTGCTGTATTCAAAATCTAACATTTTTAAAACTACCATATTATCATAATTATTTTAAAAATTGCAGTTGTTCGTATGGTGTCAAGTTCCATAATTGCCGTATTTTTTAAGTTCTGCCGTTTCGTAAGAGAAAAGGGTTAAGATTGCCGTTTTAACGCGTACGGGACCAACACTGGTGGCGTCTATAATTCTTTTTTTTGTTTTATTTAAAGGCATCGAAACATGGTCGGATTACGCATGGCGTTGCGTGGTCAGATTTCCCTGGCAGTTTGTAGCACGTCGTGCAGCCGTGTGTACGTACGTGAATTTTAAATATAAAACTTTGAATGAAAATTAAATTCGTCTATTATAAATAAAAAGTTACGATTCAACAAACCGGTATCGTAGGTACAACACTGCACAAAAGAGCTGGCAACATTATTTGTAAATTTGACATTTGCATGTGTCAATTTAGTCTACGAGATTAAAAAACAGACTATAGTTCGCGGTGCTAATTTCTTCATTTTGGAATGTTTTTGAGACTGTTCAAGTATTACTTAAGTAAGATTATAGTAATCTGGAACCCACCTTCCCATTGCATATGTTTACATAAATATTTAATAAAAAAAATATAAATTATAACACCAAAAAAAAAACTATTATATACATATATACCTATACTATTATATTAGTAACATAAAATGGATTCCCCGTCATCCATTCATAGACAAACTAGGTTGCCATATAATCTAATATTCAGGATTTTACTCAATTTAACAAATAAAACTATAACAAATAAATAAATATTGCTTTTCTGCCATTGAAAATAAACAAAGCTTGTTACCTTAAACAACCCCTTTAATGTTGTAATATTTTTGGGTTCAATAATCACTATACAAGGCATATTACAACATCATACCATATATTAACATTTTGTAAATATTTGTATAGTATCAATAAATTGATACGTGAACACATTCAAACTAATTAAGAAGTACGGCATAGCCCTCTTCTGCTCTGATTAAAAACTTTCAAAGAGACTGCGTTAATGACATCAACGCCGGTAGAGCTGTTATTCCTGCTTGTTGCTCCATAAGGTAAACGTTACACAAATAAAAACTAAGAGGTATACTTGGTGTGTATTAGGTCCGATAACCGCTTAAAATTCAGCGAGCTTATTTGCTTTCACATTTCTGTCAAAACTAAGGGATCTAACCGGTATCTCTTAGATATTCTATATAGATATATGTGGATCAGGTATCTAACCACTTCTGGCGGTATACTTAAATGGTGTATTAACACCATTTAAGTACTCCGCCAGAAGTGGTTACATATCGTAATCGATATGCAGCTTGAATGCTGATAGTTGCTTTTGTTATTCGAGTAATATTATTGTCGAAAAAACAAAACGATTTTAATTCCGCTAATATATGAGGTTGTACGAGATGTGAAAAGTACATATGATTTATAGCCTAGAATTATAGTCACTTTTCGTAAGTGAAAAACTCAGTATTTTGAACTTCATTGTAGTTGATCAATCGTAATTTTTCAGGCGCACCATTTCAATCGACTGAAAATAGTTACTGTATATTTTAGTTGTGCCCCGAATTGTTTAGTATTATACTGTGGCATGGACCCGTATTAAAACCTGGAATTCAGACTTCACCTCCACAAATGTAGACTTGGGCCTGCCAACTTTTCAATATATTTAGTAATATTCAATTACAGTAAAAATCATTTAATATGACGCATTTTCGCTTAACAACACTTAGGAATATCATTACTCAGTTTTACTTAGTTTGTACATTTAAGTAACTGTGGTACACTAATTTTTACTTAGTTTGTATTTTTAACTCTAGTACAAATTGAAAACAGGTTTTAATCTACAATGATCTGACTGTGAAGTCAAATAAATTCCTTTTTTAAACGTATCTAAAAACGATACACGCGGTACACTTAAATATAAAATAAGAAGAAGTGACATTGACGTCACGTTAAAAGTTTGATTTGACCTCCTGACCTACGAACCTAACTGTTGTCAAATCAAACTTTTAATATTGATTTGATGATACATTTGAATCGATGCAAATAAATAAATAAATAAATAAAGACGTGCAGACACATGTAATATCCTATTTTACAATCAAGAACATTGAGGGCATCATTTTTTGTTCTTCGTTTCAAAAAACTTACATATTACATTCCTACTGTACTGAATTCCAACGTGGATGCTTGATATGAATTCAGCCTATTTAGTCTAATTACCCAAAGTGTAACCTGCCGTCCTGTATGGTTCTGAAAGTTGGCCCATTAAGAGAACGGATGAGAGACGCCTGAACGTAGCCGAAATGTGAATGCTGAGATGGATGTGTAGTGTGACTCGGATGGACAAGGTTAGGAATGAGTATATTCGAGGGAGTCTGAAAGTAGTGCCACTGAATGAAAAGTTAGAAATTAGATTATCTGGATATGGACATGTCATGCTGAGGGATGAGGAAAATGTGGCCAAGAAAGTGTTAGGTATGGTAGTTAAAGATTACAAGAGAAGAGGAAGGCCCAAAAAAAGGTGGATGGACTGTGTAAGTGGCGATATGGTCAGGAAAAGCGTAAACAGTGAGATGACGAATAATAGAGTAGTATGGAAGAATCATACTTACTGCGCCGACACCAAATAAAATTGGGACAAGGGTAAGCAGATGATGACCCACAGTGTAACAGGAATTAAATTTACTCTCATATTAAAAATATTTACTATGTTATAATAGCAAAAATAGATGGTCTTAGAAGATAATGCATATATCTTCTAAGACCATCTATTTTTGCTATTATATAATAATAGCTGGAAGCGGTAAGATCAGTTATTGTGTTATAATAACTAAATTGCGCTTCCCGCTTTTATTGCTGTCATGTGAAGTGTAAAACCCAATAAAAATTCTGTTGTAAAATATTTTATGCTATGTTGCTTCGATATTCAGTCCATATACAGCACAAGTTTATATCGATAACGATCAAATTTATATTGTAATTAGCTACTATTTATTTAATTTTTACTCTAGTTACACTTGTATACATCGGCCGATAACATATTCTCGTTCTTTTCCAAACATTGCAGGAAGTTTCAGAAAGAACGATAGTTGTCTATGGTTAAAATAACTTATGCATTTGAGTGATAAGATTCATCATTATTTTTAACATTTAATTATTGTTTTATTGTTAAACCCAAGGTTTATAATTGATTAAAAGAAAAGAATAACCTTATTAATTTATTTAAATTTCATATAAATTAATGACGTTTGGTAAAGGCAGCTCATATTGGCAGAGTAGTGAGCCTATTTTACTGAGTTCAGATTATATAAAATATATCTAAAACACTTAAATTTATTTTATTATAAGAATCTGGTCAGACACTTGTTAAGGTAGGAAAAAAATACGAACTATACAATTCATTTTGAACGAGTCGAGCTCATTAAACCCTTATCGCTTCCTAGTGTGGAAAGCTATAAAGATACGGTTCTACTAATGTTTGTCAAGCGGAAAGCCCTGACTAATAACGGGCCCGATAGGGCCTTTTATCAAGAACTGTAACGCCCTGCTACGACAGTGACAAACATCACTAAAGAAAAATTCTACCGTCATAAATTGGGGATTAATTTTAGCACATTTTAGTTGACATGTTTATAAATAATGAACGTCGACGGTCATTATTATTAATGATAATAATAGCACACGTAAACTAGCTAAAACTCATGTACTAAGGGAAAAAACCGGAGAGTAATAGTAGCAAGATGAAATGTAATTCTGCATAATTGGTGTTTACAGTGAGGCGTACTGTAATCGCGTATGATATGTAACATCTGACATCTCACTTACATTTGACGATCAACTCAAATATCGAGCGCTGATTGGTCAAATCAAATAGCGCACACTTTCCCGCCTACATGTTACAAACTTCCGTCCCTTTTCATGAAGTCATTGCCACGGATTGTGGGAAAGTGAGAGGAAAGATGTTAAACATCAATAGTACTTGTAATTACTATACTGTGAGAAAAGATACTATTGCGATAGTCTCTGCTTTTAATTAACATGGTCATGTGCCATTCGTGGCGATCTTGTTTTTATTCTTCTTTAGTGTAAAACTACCAGAACATTTTAGATAGTACCTACTATTGAATAAAATAATGTGATCGATAATTATTGTAAATAACTATGTAGTTAGTGAAAATTTAATATAAATTACTGCTCATACTAATGTTTTGTTTTAATGACTTTGTAACAGACCTATTAAAATGACTTGAAACTAGTACCTAGATAATCTGTGCATATATTCTTTCTCGTGAAACTAACAAGTTTTACAGTCGTGTTTTACTTTACCTACTATTTTAACATTTGGGCTACAGAGCATACCAAAAAAATATACATACAAATACTCAAAAACGAAAAAGTCGGATATAAAGGAAAGAAATAAGCGAAGAATATAACCCACTCAAGATACATTGCCGAGAGAGATCCCATTATCTCTTTGAGCAATGTGTCTCACATTTGTTAAAAAAATTATAAATATATTGTTGAATGTGACATATCTTGCTGTAAGTATATGAGACATTATGCTTATGACGTGATGAAAACCTTAATTCTTGAATAAATTTGAATATCAACTCAGGATTGTTTGATGTTATCTATAAAAAGTTGTGTACAGGATCTGAGAAAATGCCATTAAGTTGAAATGTTAAAAAGAAATGTGTCAATGCTCACTAGAGATGTTCAAATAAAACTAATATAAAAATTACAAACATTTACTCCTATCAATATCTCCCTCTATCTCTTCTTCTCTCGCCATCGTGTCTATCTCTCTCCCTCCTGTCTTTATCTCTTTCCCTTTCTCTCTCTCTTTGATCTCTTGATCTATCCTTCTCTCGCTCTTTTTCACGCTCACGTTCCCGTTCTCGTTCACGCTCTCTTTCTCGTTCCCTTTCCCTCTCACGTTCCCGTTCTCTTCTATTCTCTTCTCTTCTTCTATCTCGGTCTCGACTACGTGATCTTTCACGTTTGCGATCCTTTTCGCGTCTCTCACGTTCTCTTGATCTGTAAAGTTTAGAAAATCATATCTGAGAAATGCATTTTACTGTAGTGTATGTTATACTATAGTCCATTCTGCCTGCATTTATAGAAAATAGTGACGCATCAATCAAGCCTAACACTCTGACCTATTAGGTTTCAAGCAGTCGTGCGAAACCATAATTTATTGGCACCTGACTGGCCTGACCAATCAGGTACTAAGAAAGCAAAAAAATATCGATTTAAATTAGGGGGTAGGATTTGATCGATGTGATTAATGAATGAACTCTTCATTAGACTGGTATATATTTTTTCCCTTGGTTCTGTCAAACTTTGCAATAGGCTATTTTACTCTATGAATGTAATTATCAAAAAATATTATTATATTATAGACAAGATAATAAAATAGTTTAGGCAATCCAAAAATGTTAATTTGAGTTCTATATTACAATTCATTTCAAAGTAATTTTATTTTCTGAAAAAAAGTCATCATGTTGGTAAAAACTAAGTCATCATCATCAAAAACTAAGTAAAGAGTGAACTTACATTTTTGAATTTATAACAATCCTGCTTGTTTTGTTAAATAACTAAAAAAATCTAATCTTTCTTTTTAAATAAAAAAAAATATTGGCTGTACCTTGCCACGATTCATGGTGAGACATTGTGGTTGCACTGATGAGAAATGAGAAACAAAACTAATGCCAAAAATAGATAAAAACAATCTTTGAAACGGGTTGTATATCATATCAAAATTTGAGCACAATTGGTGCAGTAGGTACTTTTTGAGTTTTTGAAGAACACACGAATCAACTTAACATTTATATATGTATCGATTATAAAGCTGAAGATTATGCTTGAATACGCTAATCCCAAGTACTACTGGTTTAAATTGAAAAATTATTTGTGTGTTGGATAGTCCATTTATTAAGGAAGGCTATATAGTATTACGTTATGACCAATAGGAGCCAAACATCAATGAAAAATATTCTAAACAAGCAAAATAAGCAGAAATCAGAATAGGTAAGAGTATATTTACCACCAAAACTTTGAGGAAATGAGTTACAATAATGATACCTCCTCTATAAACCCAGAATCAAGCAAACAAATAAGTAATTACATTTTGTGTGCCTCTACCTTAAAAACGGCTGATATGATTTCTTATTAGAAATTGATTAGATATTTAAAAATGCAAGGAGCTCATAATGAACTTTATTTATTTCCCGAACTCAGCTATTCTATTGCTACATGTCTTCTAATGTGTGTGAAGAAAAGCCTACATGAAAACATTTGAAAGAAAGCCCTTCTAGAATTGTTGCATCATATGAGCCATGTACATTTTCTTAGTTACCTACCTTATTAGCTAGATAACCCAAACAACAAATAAAAGATACAGACTACACTGTAATTGCCTTTTTCATTGCAAATTATGAGTAAAAACCAAACCAACCTGTCTCTCTTTCTGTCTCTATCCCTTCTATCCTTCTCTCTCTTGTTCTCCTTAACTTCAACATCAACATTCTCATCATCAGAAGGCATGTCTTCATCTAAATCATCGTCAAGAGCTGAAATTTTGGGCTCCAATTCATTATTCTCTTCTAATATGGGTCTCTTCTGGATTCTAGGCAGAATCACGTCACAAAGCCGTTCTTCTCGAAGCAGTTCATCTATAAACTCATCCACATGAACTATTTCAAACTGTCCTTCACGGTTTTGCCTTCTCAACTTTCTGTTATCATTGTAAAGAGGTTCTAAATACTTGTAACAATCAACTGACGATCCTGTCAGTCTCATATAAAAAGCCCCTAACGCACGCACATATTTAAACTCTTCATTTTTGATAAATTCTACTACAATGTCCTTTTCAGGCTGGATCTGCAACATTTTTAAAACTAAACACAAAAACGGAGTAGGGTATATAAAGCCTCCGTGCACGCCGCCAATGTATCGTAATTCCATTGCCTTGTCGACCATGAGTTCGGCAGTTAAGGCAAAACATTCTTCCTTCCAATATTTAGAATCGTATATACGGGATCTGATAATCTTTTCAATTAAATATTGAGGGTTTGTGCCTCGTATTGACTTCGCATCTTTAACCGTGCGATTCGCCATTTCTATGCATGCATAGGCTTTTGAAGTTTTGACGTACCAGTGTTACCAATATTTGCACTTTTGAGACTCTCGTGTGGAAACCTTATCATAGGTAAACTGAATTCAAGATTTAACAAAACGCAACGCAACGCAATAATAAACACGCAAACAATCTATCATTGATAGCCTTTATTTAAAAAAAAAAAGTATAAAATGAATCCGGCAAATAACATTGTCTTACATATATATCTCGGTACAGTATCGAGTTTTGCATGTCTACAACTTTAATAGTTCAAAAACTAATACAAATGGTTGGGTCGGCTAGACAGTAGCTATACCACGGCCTCACAGAAAATCAATGTTAAAAAAACGTGTCTCGGGACGCCAGACAGAAGTGATAACTTAAACTAATCTCAGTTGAACTACTTAATATTGAAATTGTTTAACTTGCGAAAAGCTTTGGTTATTATTTAAATTTTATGTAAAGCGTCTGTCCGAAATACGGCTAGCGCTGTGAGTAAGAGTGAGAGAGCAGGAGCCTGCCTACCGCTGCCGTATGCATGAGAGAAAGGGAAGCCAGACAGATTGGCGCCGTAACGCATTACGTAACGAAGACGTTTATCCTCCCATAAAAAGTTATCACTTCAAAAGTTTTTGCGTTTCTTGGAGATTCTGGGTAGAGGGACTCTTAAGTAGCAGATGTACTTATGACTGTGTTAAGTTGTAGGTGCCCGTGGGTGTCTTGTAGTTACACTAATATGGAAAGCCTCGATAAAATGCTAATTTACAACAAAAACCCGAAATTGTTTTAGTATATGACTCGATTGTATTTTATTTCTTTTTGACAAGTAAAATTAAAACAAAACGTTACTAGGCTACACTGTCTTGTCACACATGAGTCTTCTAGTCAACGACAATCACCAAGTAGGCTGTACTAGTTTGGTTTGCCGTCTCCTTTCAACACTCCCCCTAAACCAAAACTAGTGCCAAAGAGGTAGGCGCTCTCACTTCTTACTCTATGGCTAGTGCAGATTTCAATAGATCAAAGGTGGGTTTCGGAAGACCTTTGGTCATTATATCTGCAAGCTAGTCTCTTGTACCAATTCTTGTAACTAAGATGGTTCCTTCAGAGACAAGTTCACGAACATAAAAGTGTCTCACACGTATATGCTTCGTTCTCTTGTGGAACTCAGGGTTGTGTGCCAATCGTACAGCTGCTTCGTTATCAACATGAAGATTCGGCACACTCTTCTTATTCGTCAAGTTTTCGAATATTCTAATCAGCCAAACTAATTCTCGTGCTCCTTCACTGGCAGCCACAAGTTCAGCTTCAGTTGTAGACAGCGCTACTGAAGTCTGTCTTTTGCTTGTCCACGACACAGGACCTCCTGCGTATCGGCATACGATTCCAGTAGTGGATCGTCCGGTAGTAGCATCACCACCATAATCAGCGTCGCTGAAACCTTCAAGTTCTGGTCTATTCAGTGTCTTCGGTTTGTATTTTATACCTAGAGACGTAGTTCCCTTCAGGTATCGTAATATACGTTTGACTCTGTTCCAGTCACTTCTGGTCGGCTTTTCTAAGTTGCGAGATACTACTCCAACAGCATAGGCAATATCAGGACGGGTCGCAACCATAAGGTATGCTAACGCACCAACGGCTTCACGATAAGGAAAGTTAGTCTCCTCGTTGTGTCCTTTCTCTTCATCTGATTGTGTTGCAGACGACTTTTCTGCGGCATCAATCGGCGTTGAGACAGGATTACTGTTAGCCATGTTAAAGCGTTCAAGTACCTTCTTGGTTTATGCTTCCTGGTGGATCACAATCGTGCCGTCTTTGCATTGATTGATCTCCATGCCTAAATAATAGGACGCAGTCTTTGTCGTAATTTTAAGTTTTGTTTTCAGGCTCTCTATAAATTCTTCAGCAAGCTGTTTGTCTGAAGCAGCCACTAATCCGTCGTCGACATATAAAGTAAGTAAGATCTGTTTCCCCCCTACTTTCTTTGTGTATAGACACGGATCAGCTATACTTTGTGTGAATCCGAGTTCAACAACTACTTGATGGAAACGATGATTGCAGCAGCGGGGCGCTTGTTTCAGGCCGTATAAGCTTCGATTTAGATGACATACGCGGGTAGAGCCATCGTGAAAACCTTCCGGTTGCTGCATGTACAGCTCTTCTTCGAGCTCACCGTACAAGAAGGCTGTGGTGACGTCGAATTGAGTTAGGTACATATTCTCACTCGCAGCAACGCTTAGCAGTGATCGAATGGTGGAGAATCTGGCTACAGGACTGTAGGTTTCCTGATAGTCAACTCCTTTGCGTTGCTTGAAACCTTTCGCAACCAAACGCGCTTTGTATTTGTCGATAGAGCCATCGGGGTTTCTCTTAATTTTATAAACCCATTTACACGGTATGGCTTTTCTATCTTGAGGTAGTTCTTGAAGGGACCACGTGTTGTTCTCTTTCAAAGAATCTATCTCCTTAAGCATAGCTTTTATCCACTCGTTTTTATGCGGGCTCTTCATAGCTTCTTTGAACGTAGCGGGTTCAGCTTCTTCATCGGTAAGTGCACAACAATCTTTGTACTTCTGAGGAGGATGAATGGTGCTTCTATCTCTTAGGTTGTATCTCGGCTGTGCTGCTTCATCTTCGGAGTCAGATGAATCGCCTGGATCAACGTCGTACCACGTTACACTAGGTGGTCTTGACTGTTCACCATCTGGGTTTTCCTCTACAGAATCAGGAGCAGGACTGTCTTCATGAAGTTTCGGTGCAGATTCTTCATCTTGCAGATCAGGTTCCGTTTGCTCGCGTTGATGGCTTGGAGTTGGATCTTGATGAACTTCGGTGCGCTCTTGATTAAAAGATACTTTCAACTCGAATTCGTTGAATGGTGTTTCTTTTTCTGTTGCCTTAGGTACAACTTTGTCGAATTGTGTTCGATCAAGCGGTTTCTCGTCGAAAGTTACATCTCTCGATCTAACCAGTATGTTGTCGTCGCACCAGATACGATAGCCATCATCATTGTCGTATCCGATCAACCTTCCTTTGATAGCTTTCATGGAGAGTTTCTTCCGTTTATGTTTGGGGACATGGACGTAGGCTCTGCAGCCCAAGATGCGTAGGTGAGCTATCTTTGGTTTATTTCCATGCCATAGTTCGTAGGGCGCTTTGTTCTCCGTACGGGATGGACCAGTTCGGTTGAGAACGTAGGTAGCCGCATTAACTATCTCTGCCCAAAGTTTCTGTTCGAAACCTCCGCTGTGCATAATAGTCCTTGTAGCCTCTACTAAGGTTCTATTTTCTCTCTCGGCGCATCCGTTCTGCTCTGGAGTGTAGGGCATGGTCAGCCGCTGTTTGATGCCATGCGTGGCGAGGATCTCACGCACCTCCTTGTTATCAAACTCGCCGCCATTGTCACTCAGGAGAGTTTCGATCGTATGACCAGTATTTCGTGCTTCGGTGATGAACTCCTGCATCTTCTGTTTCACCTCTGACTTGGCTTTCAGAAAGTAGACATAGCGATAGCCGGTGAAGTCATCTTTGAACAGCACAAAATAGCGCAGATTTGTAAATGAGTTAGGGAACGGTCCGCATACGTCGCTGTGTACAAGTTCGCCGGGTCTTGAAGCTCTAGGTCGAGTACCAAACTTCAAACGATGTGACTTGCCGAGTATGCAGCTTTCGCAGATGCTTTCGTCTTGAGGAAGCTCTACTCCTAACTCTCGTTTTACAAATGTTCGTACATGACGCTTATTCTGATGTACGAGACGTTCGTGATACAGCTGGGTTTTCGTAAGCATATTCACTTGCTTCGGAACGACGCTCTCAACATGAAGTTTGAATAGGCCCCCGCTCAGGCCGCGTACACCCCTTAGTTTCACTTTGCCATGCGTTGACAGTGTGCATCTGGTGGGTGCTGATTCAAATCTAGATGTAGGGCTGCAGTCATGCGCTGCTAGGACCGAGAAAAGGTTTTTCTTGATCTCTGGCACGTACCATACGTCCTTCAGCGTTAACTCGTAGACTTTTCCTCGTACCTTCGATTTGATGTTGATATCTCCCTTGCCTTTGGCTTGCAATGCATTTCCATTAGCGGTGGAGACGGTGTGCATCTCGTCGAATGGTTGGAAGGTCTGGAATAGATCGCCGCGATTGGTGACGTGACACGTTGCGCCGTTATCTACGAACCAGTTCACTGTATCTGATGAAGTCGAGAATACTTCATGTTCTGATGTCAATACTTCTGCAACTTGAGATTCTTGCTTGCGGGACGATGAAGAAGAAGGCGGGTTACTGCTCTTTGGGGGTTTGCCGTCTGCTAACCACTTCCTGCAGTCTAACACGCGATGGCCTGTCTTCAAACAGTAATTACATTTAATTCTGCTATCCTTGCTCTTCTTCTTGGCCGCATTCTGTGTGTTTGTCGTTGGTAAGGCCTCTTGCTCTGGCGGCACGATAGACACCATCAAGCTCCTTTCGAAAACGCACAGGCGATTGGTTAGATTGTCGATAGTTCTTTCGGACGTCGGACACATCAACCATCCACTTTTAAATTGACTGTATTCTTCCCCAAGTGTGTCAAGAGTCTTGCAAATTAGAAGAAGATCTGGAAGCTTCTTATCTTCGCCGAGCTCTTTATTCAATGAGGTCCAAATATTTTTCAATTTCGACATATGAGTTGCTGCGTCGTCAGCTGGATCCTTTTTTAATCCAAAGAAACTCATACATAGCTGGAAGGTCCTGTCTTCATTGGTTCCGTCGAACATTCGATGAAGTTCTAACCACATGTCTCTAGCAGACGTGAATCTCATTACTTTGCGTAACATTTCGTCGGTCATGTTGTTTGTGATGAAGAAAAGAGCACTTGAGTCAGCCTTCGCAAACTCCGAGGTTGCAGTTCCACTGCTGGCTTTACTTTCTCCATTTGTAGAAGACGACGTAAGCTTGCCTTCTATTACATCAAGAGCGTGAGGTATGCTCTTGAGTACGATCAGCATTTTGTACTTCCATGTGTCCCAATTTGCTTTGCCTTCGAGAGGTACAATCGTGTACTTGAAAGTCGAAGTCTCCATGTTGGTAGTACAACTAATGTACACCCATAACCTCTTGTAGTTGCACTAATATGGAAAGCCTCGATAAAATGCTAATTTACAACAAAAACCCGAAATTGTTTTAGTATATGACTCGATTGTATTTTATTTCTTTTTGACAAGTAAAATTAAAACAAAACGTTACTAGGCTACACTGTCTTGTCACACATGAGTCTTCTAGTCAACGACAATCACCAAGTAGGCTGTACTAGTTTGGTTTGCCGTCTCCTTTCAACAGGGTGGCGGTAGTCACTTACCAGCAAAGTAACTCGTGCATCAACTTATTTGCCCTCCATACCATAAAAACTTTTAATGAACATTTAATCAACGGATACAAAAAGCGCAAAAGTTTTTTACAGGATTGTCTCAATAACAAAATTGTCCCATAAATATGTTCACCTAGTAGTTTTAGTTTTATTCGGTAATTATAATATTTTCTAAGATGTTTCCGAAGTTTGAACTTAAATGAGACTTGCATAATAACAAATCACGTAACCAACTATTTCTGGCTTTAATAACTGGTAATTTTAATGGGAGACGTTTGGAAAACAAAAGTATAAATAAATAATTAAAGCTGTATTAGGAAACCTGCTCTATCCATATTACTTCCTGTGTGTAAAGAAATAACCCAATGATGTACTATCCATACTACATTTATGAGGTGTACATATCCATCATATCGATCGACAATTATGTCGTCGTTTCTGAACAGTTCACAGGTATTTTGAAACAATTTGAGATTTGTCAACTGTCAAATAATCGTAAATCGCGCTTTGTGTTGTAAACGGCCGCTGTTTAAAAGTTTCCAATAAAATTGAAATAATATTCATTAATTTATATAGAAGAACTTACTAGACTTTCAGCTTAACTATGCAGAAAACTAAAAAGAAACGGGGAGATGAGGAACCGATGGAAGTCGACGAAGATCAGAATGGCGCGGTTTCAGGTACCGAGCAAGATTACCTGATAAATGGTGAAATAGACCATATCACTGAAGAAGAAGAAGGTGGTATCCGTATAGGGGATATCTATATTCCGCCTGCTCCTGCACCAGCCTTAACGTTCGACAGTAAGGGTCCAAGGTTGATAATAACTCATATTGTGAATGAGAATTTTAAAAGTTACGCTGGTATTCAAACTCTGGGCCCATTTCATAAGGTAAGTTTAAATTTACACTATATAATTGCCTTGCGTTCTTCTAAAATATTTTTAGTTCACTCATATAAAGTTTTCAATTCTGAGCAATTATTAAATAATTATTTTATGTTAATATAAACATTATATTAGCAAAAAAAAATTGTGGTGTTTGTAGCTTATGATAATTTATTTAATTTAAAAAATTGTAACAATGAGTAAATAATTTCACTAACAAAATGTCTATTTCAACTTTCAATATAATGTTTTTGTTGACAATAAATAATAAACAATATGTAGGTTTTTTTTTTGTTTTCAAAAACTCAGTACATGTACAATAATAATAATATAATATAATATTCTACCACATACACCCAACACCATCTAGTCCCAAACTAAGCAGAGCTTGTACTATGGGTACTACACAACTGATATAAATACATATATACTTTTTTTTGTATATACATACATATTATACATAGAAACACCCAGACCAAATCAAACATCAAATGTTCATGCACACAAATTTTTGACTTGAGCGGGAATCGAACCGAATACTGTGGTACAGTTTTTTAAAATACAGAATAAATCCGCCCACTATGTATGTTGCTTTATATTAAAAGAATAGGTGAGAAGAATACTTCTTCTGAGGTATGCAACTTAGAAAAGTTAGACTGCTGTGCAGAAATGATCGTACATGAATTGATGCTAAACTATCAGAAATTACTTAAATGTATTTGTTTAAAAAAAAAAAATTGTTTAATTTGAAAAAAAAAACGATTTTTCACCACAATTATGTTAATGAGTTTTTCTAAATTACATATTATTTTGTACAGATAATTGGGTTAAAATTGCAACACAAAATTTAAAATTAACTATATTTAGTGCAAAATTTTTGAACAGTATGGTTCAATAACCTATTAGAATTAGGTAAATTTGCTGCTTTAGTGGTGGTGATTGAGTATAGATAGTATATTGTGTACTGTGTTTAGTTTTCTAAGATACAAAATGTTAAATGCCTAATGAATCTAACATTAAAAATTAAATGTTATTTTATATTTTAAGTTATATAAGAATTATAGCTAACATTATAAATGAGAATGTTGGTTTATTTACTTGACAGCCAGTAGTTGTTACAATATTTACTAAAATCTAATGCATGCATCCATTATATTGAGATTAATGCACAACATTTTAAGGAGTCACATCAGGCATAATAGAGTAACGCTATATAAAACTAAAAATGGAAAAACATTTATGCGACTTTAACAATAAATTGAACAAAAATAAAACAACTAAACAAGCAACCATTCACAAGCTAATTACTATTATATGATTATAACTACCTACCCTACTTAGTTTGTTTTCAATGCTCCACCTCATGAAACTTCGTATGAAAAGTGTGAGACACTAGAACTTAGCAGTCTGCATAGTCATCTACAATAATTGACTACATATTGTTACAGAGTTTCACAGCAATCATTGGACCAAACGGAAGTGGTAAAAGCAATGTTATCGACTCAATGTTGTTTGTCTTTGGTTACCGTGCGACGAAGATCAGGTCCAAGAAAATCTCAGTACTTATACATTCGTCTAGCAAGTACCCGAATCTCACTAGGGCGACTGTTGCTGTACATTTCTGTGAGATTATTGATGGGGTGAGATAATTTTGTTTTTCATCATCATCATCCTCAGCCTATCGCAGTCCACTAGACATTTTGTTTTTAAATTACCTGTAATGTTTCTCTTCAGAATTGTTTTCTACAATTGTTTATTTGCAACAAAAATGTTTATTTATAGTTTATAATTTTTGTTAGGATTTTCCATACTTGCAACATAATCATACCATGGCATAGCATTTCACCGTTATACATAAATTAGTTTTAGAAAAAAAAATAAAAAAAAATGGAACAACACAGAACTCAGTCATGCATGAACCAATTTGAAAAATTCATTCTTTTAGTTCGATTAATTTAAAAATTTGAAATGAAATATCACACCTAACAGGGAAAATTACAGAATTAAGTATACAGTTCATCACAATTGTATACTTATTTGTGTAATTATCACAGTTATACCTTTTCTAAAGTTAATTATTTTTAAACATACTATTACAGGATGGTGAAGAATTCACAGTGGTACCCGATAGTGAGATAGTAGTATCAAGAACTGCTTTCAAAGACAACACCTCATTCTATACATTAAATGGTAGAAGAACTCAGTTCAAAGATGTTGCCAACACACTCAAGTCGTATGGAATTGATCTGGATCATAATCGGTTTCTAATATTGCAAGTGAGTACCCAAAATCTTTGTATGAAATGTTGTATTATTACTATTCGCAGATTAATAATATGATTCTAATCACAACAAAGACTACCATGGACTTATGGACGCCTACAATCAATTGACAAACCTATGCCCCATATAATAAGGTTTAAGATTTGAGCCGGCGATAACTTCACTCACTCGGTCAAAAGCAACAAAAGATTGGTTGTGACATTAAAAGAAGAGTGGTTATTACACAACTAAATAGATGTGATCACTCACTAGCCTCATACTTATGATAAATAGCAACACAATATAGATGTACTACAACCTTATTACCTTCTACAAATATTAATAGAAAATCGTCTTTTCAGGGTGAAGTGGAACAAATAGCTATGATGAAACCAAAAGCTCAAAATGAACATGAATCTGGAATGTTGGAGTATCTAGAAGATATCATTGGCACTAGAAGGTACAAGGTATGTTTTATCATTAGGAACTTTAATAGTTGTATTGCGCTGATTACTTCCTTGACAGTAATTTGGGACTATTATTTAAAACACATCGTGGAAGCGACCTATGTCCAGCAGTGGACTGCGAGAGGTTGATGATGATGATTCCAAACACAAGAAAGATTTTCTATGACAATTTTTTTTTAAGGGAATGTATCCATACTATGTGAGGTCTAAGGGCTTCGGTTTTTCATCACACAGTCAATATAATATTTTGCAAGACAAGTACTGTATTAATAAAGACAAATATAACCCAAATTATTATTTTTATACTTTCTGTTTGCCAAAAATGATTCAGAAGCATATTTATGAATGACAATGAAAACTAGAGGGATCGTGGCATATACTACAGATCGTCAATCAGGGGTGGAAGGGGGGTAATAGAGGAGGAAAAATAAAGATAGAAATGATTGTTAGTATGTGTGCAATTGTTTTACAGGAACCCTTAAAGCAATTAAAGGCCAGGGTAGAAGAATACAGTGAAGCACGTAAAGAGAAGTTAAACCGTGTCCGCCTTGTTGAACATGAGAAGCAAGCATTAGAAGAACCGATGAGAGAAGCTGTTGAGGTTATGAACTTAACTAATAACTTATTGAGGACTAGGAATACATTACTGCAGAAATATATGTAAGTTATCCGATTTACTATACATTTTACCATACTGGACACATAAGTACCATACTGGGGGCCAACCAGTAGATGGGTCACCTAGGGTCACCTGATGGTAAGTGACGCCTATGGTCACCTGTAACTCAAGTACCCTCTCCCCCTCTAGAATTGGAGGAGGGCGGAGGGGCAATAATTAATATCTATCCTGTTTAATCCATTCCTAAGACTTACTGGGACTGGTTGCTGCTATGTTTACTACGGTTAATGTTAATCTGAAATAAAAATTTCTTTTAGTCACGAAACAAATAAGATAATAGAAGATAAACAGAAGGAACTACAAGAACTTTTGGATAACTTGACCAAAATCGATGAGAATTTGAATAAGCTAAAAGAAGAATTGCATGAGAAAACAACTGTCCTTAAGGCTGGAACACAGTAAGTATTTAGTTTAAAGATATGTTTATATAATATAAACATATATTGTGTATATACGTACAACAGAGATATATACGAGTATTAATGTCGGAACTTTTCAAATCGAAATAAACAAAAGGAAACTGTTTAAATCAAAGAAATTCAAGTTTTAACTTCTATTGGCACTCCCTTAGTGCCACTGTTTTTTATTTGAAAGGGTGACAAGTGCGAGGATGACGTAAATGGGGAGGAGTCAGAGAGGGGAGGGGGGGAAGGATTAAGATGGAGTTTACTTATGTATTGATAAAAATTAAATAATATTCACGACTGCGCTTTTTAGTATCAAAAATGTTTCTAAATGGGGTTCTTTAAACAGTGTCCCTAATGTAATATCCTTTGTGTAGAAAATACGACGAACTAAAACAAAAAAAAGAAGAAATAGCAGAAAAACTACAGATATGTAAGAGAAAAACTGTCACAGCCCAAGCGGACCTGACACAGAGTAATAAGAAGAAGAAGAATTTAGATCAACTGTTAGAGCAAGAGAAGGGGAAACTTATTGATTTGGAACTAGTAAGTAAATTTATTAAACAATATTTGATTTAGTGTTGTTTCAAATATTTAAATTTTGATTATAGCATGATGACTGAATGGAATTAGAGCAATTTTTGTATTCTAGATCCCAGATAAGAATAAGAGAGAAATAGAAGACTGTGAAAAGCTACTTGATAAGCATAAGGAAAATAAAAGAGTGGCCGAAGAAGAATTACAAACTGTTGTGGCCAGCGTCAGGTAACTAATAGTTGTAAATTCTCAGTACTAATATATAGTAGTTATAGATATAAAAATAATATTCTACCACATTTACACAACTTGTACTATAGGTACTAGACAACTGATATAAATACATATATACTTTTTTTTTTTGGAAATACATACTTATATGACTAATAGCTGCTATAACAGATTAGATATTACTATAAATATGAAAGTTACTCAATCATGCCAGAACGGCTTAACGAAATCGGATGAAATTTGGTGCAGAGATAGATATAGTCTTGAATAGGCGTCGCGTAAAAGCTGTAGTTATATATAAACTTCACTACAGACTCGCTAATACGTCATCTTATATGGTGTTTATGTTTTTTACAGAACTAAAACCCAAGATCTTCAGGAACAAAAAGATAGGTTACAAGCAAAACTAATCGATCTCAAGAAGATAGTTGATGAGGCTAATAAAGATTATAAATTAGCAGAGTCCGAACTTAAAATATACTTAAGTACCGAGACGAAAGAAACGGAGAAACTGGAGAAAATAAAGGCGGCATATGAAAAGGCTGTTTCAGATTTAGAAGAGAAAAAACCGTGAGTTCCTAAGTAATATTTAAAGTCGTACCAGAGATCAGCAAGTTCTATTAAAAACTTTTTTATATCTAGATCGAACCTATAAAGCTAGACCAAGAGGTCAGTCAAAAGTCGTGCATTGTTGGTGTGTAACATATTTCCATCTCTTTCCTGTAATCTGTGGGAGTGATTTCGTGAAAAGGGACGAAAATGTGTAACATGCGTGTTGCAAACTTCAAATGTTCATGCACACAAATGTTTGACTTGAGCGGGAATCGAACCCGCAACTCTTTGAATAGCAGTCTTTGACACAAACCACTACGCCATCCGGTCGTCTAACTTGTTAAGCTATTCATACGTTGCAGTTAACCGAGTGAGTTAGGTTACCAGAGCCATAACCCCTCCTCTTGATATTGGAGAAAGAACTCAAAGGGCGGCAACTTACCTGTGGCCAAATGGCCATGGGTGGCGGTAGTTACTTACTATTAGGTGACCTGTCTGCTCGTTTGCCCCTACGTCATAAAAAAAGGAAACCGGTCAAGCGCGTACTACTTGGTTTGACCAATGAGACCGTCATTTAATTTGACCAATAACCGCGCTGGCAAGAGTTAGCTATCAAATGGTAGTTGAGATGTCGGATGTTAATGGTCATATGCAACTACTGCAAGGCTCCTTCTTTTTTTTTGCTTTAAAACCACCTGTTTTCAGACTACAACAGGAACTGTCTTCGACTTTACCAGCACATGAAAAGAAATTAGGAGAAGTACAGACTAAACTGCAATCATTGAAAAAGGAGGAAGCAAAAGTCTCAAGCGAAACAAGATCATTGAGGTGAGTGATGTATGTTAGTTGGTGTATGTCTTTTTTTTGCAATCGTTAGGTCTTAGCTTCGGTTCGTGGGTAGGAATTGTTATTGTCTTTGAATCATAAGCTTCGATCAAAAATAGCAACTAGATAAAGGGGTCACGTACAAAGTCAAAGCTAAATGCTGTCTGTGTGAATATATACTTATGCAGCTACATTTGTTTACCAACAAACGGATGGAAAAGTTTTAAAAAAGTTTTAAGTTCAACCTAATTACAACTATGGTACACAATAATAATGGTAATAAAGTCACAAATCTTCAAAATATTATCTAATACTTACGATCATTCCTTGCAAAAAATGAGCAAAGCAATAAATTACTCCTATCACTTTAAAATGAAAAGACATAACTTAAATAACATTTAGTGTAAAATCAATCTTATGATGCAACAAATAAAGTACTTTTTCTCGTTATTGCCTTGAGAGCTACATCGTTTTGTTTTGTTTTATTTTTGTTTCTTCTAGTTTTACTACAGGAGGTATGGAGTCGCGTTGAACACTAAAATAATTTATAATATGAACGTAAAATATTAGTTGCTTTATTTTTATGTTTCGGACATCTATGTATGTTTGTTAGTATCTTTACATTACTTATTATTTTATTAACGTTACGTTTTTGTGTAATGTGTATGTGTATTTACTTTATCACATATCATGTGGTATTTGCAAAAGCTATTTAGACGGATACAGTATTAATCGTTATCAAAATAAATACGTTAGTTATCTTGAGCAATTCATACACATTATAATAGCCCCTTACACCATACAATTTAAATGAATATGTTAGGAGATATCTTAAATTAAAAACTACGCGCGAGTGAATAAATTCGCGAATAAAACTCATCCAAAACAACAAGCTAATGCAAAAAAATGTAGGCATTTAATGCTTTAAGCGACCCGCCCTGACACCAAAAGCAGGACCCGCACAGATATACTAAATAAAATATCTCTAAATTCTACATCAAATTAACCAACCAATTTTGAAGTTCTGTTAAGAATTTTTATTTGTAACATTAATTGATAATGACAATAAGTAGTCTTTAATTTAGGACAAGAACGACAATATTTTTTGTGAACTACCTTATTCAAAGGGTGTTTGAATCCAAAGTCCTTAAGATTTCTAGTATTTAGGATATCAAAAATATCATTTAGTATCTTAATAAATTCTACTGTGCATTCTGATTCTCTAAATGCGGGAATATTTAAAGTTTTATTACAAAAGTCTATAGCTTAAAAGTCTATAAGTCACTAGCAAATCTACAAACAAAAATAACATTACAAAATAACCACACTACCCCATGCATTCCCTGTTCAAGAACAGTCGATGTTTGATACAATAATTGATGCGTTGTAGCAAACATTGGCCAAACAATTATAACATTCGCTAATTGAATTATATTTACAGTTTAATTCTGTTTATACTTATTATATTATGAAAAAACACTTATTGATATTAACTTACCGAAAAAAAGATATTCCTTCCAAAACCTTGGTGTTACGGTGGTTATTTACACAGTTTTTGAAAGCCCACTGCGGCATTTTGACGTCCTATTGTTGGCTATGATTGGACCATACTAATTTAAAATAAGAGCACAAACACTTTTGTGGTCTTATTTTTCGGGCCGTTTTTTAAGCGCTTATCGGGAATCTAGTACTATTATTGATCGAAGATCATAAGCGATAAAAGCCAATACAAATTATCGTTTATGTGTGGGAATAAGACCGACTGTACTTTGAACATCATTCATCTTTCCTATCGTATTCCTGCAATGTGTAAAAATGTTTTCGTGTTAAAAGGGACGGAAGTTTGTAACAGCAAGGCGAGGAAACGCATGCTTTTTGATTTGACCTCTAGACCTTACTGTAGTATTAAGAGTTGGCCATCAGATCGTAAGTGAAATGTCAGATACGCATATGCGAACACTAACACTAACGTTTTATTATAAAACATCATTATAAATAGATCCAAGTTACATAAAACTATAGTAAATCATATTTATAAAATAATTGAGTTAGAGATAAAAGAAACAAAAAAAGAAATTGAAGCGTCCCTATGCCTTTGCAAAATTCTTTATACGGTGTCACTTTTGCGAAGCACTTTTTGAGTATTTTCAGGTTTATTATTTCTAGTAAAATTAAAATTTTAGTATATTTACATTTTGCCACAACTCCGGACATTAATTGGGGTAAAAACCTACAGCTATGGTTTTATATATCGGTCAGTTTTCAGTTTCAAAATATGTTTTATATCTAACATAATTGGTGTTTATATGTCATACACGGGGCTTACTACTCGAGCTTTAAATATAAATATATTTTTGTTCTCCCAGAGCACAATTAGAAGAGTCTCGTCAAGCGATGAGTGCTAATCGCTCCCGCGGCCGTGTGCTGGATGCGTTGATGAAAGAAAAAAGGGATGGACGATTACCTGGCATCTTTGGGAGATTGGTAAGTTCATGTTTCTAAAGTTTTTTAATTATACTTTTACACAAAAAAGTGTAATGATAGTTATAACTCAGCAGAAAATAAACCTTAATTTTTCTTGTATATATTGTCATCTTTGAACGTGAAATTTTTATAATAAAAATCAATAGTTAGAGATGGCCTAATAGTCGAAAGTACTTAGACATCGTCGTCGTTAGGGCTTGTCCTGTAGCCCAATTTATCTTTAAGTAAGAGTTATGATGTACGGACTTAACATAAACAACATAAAATTAAACTACACACTATTAAACTATATTTGCGTAGTTTTCTGGATACCATGTATAGAACATGAATATAACAAGAATAGTAACAGTTCCTTTAATGTAAACGCAACTGTTACTATTTTGTGTATAAAAACATATTCCCACGCCTCTCTCCCTTTGTCGTACTCCGAGACAACAGCCCGCCACTTTCTTCTATCTCAAGGGCGGATCCATGACCCAAATGACCTACTCAGTCATAGAGGTCATGAACCCCTCTGGGCTGGGTCTAGTTAGTACGACTTCACGTAGGTGCTTGGAGCTGGTTGTTAGTTCTAACTGCACAGAAATAATCTTGCAGAAGATTCGCCCCTGGTCTATCCTCACGAGCGTCCTCCACTGTCATTATACCTTTCATACAAGCCCAATTTTCAGACACTCTTGATTTGCCCTTCAGAACATTTCCCTATTCTATCTGTTCATGTTTGACGAGGTCAACCTTTAGCATCAGTTTTTTTTTGAAAGAAAAATGTTTATTAAACTTTTACAAGCAAGATACATATTTTTTTACTTCTGCCAAACTGCAGGACAGTTTGTCGGCAGACGTAGCTCCTTATTTATTGAATCTTTATTTTTTAGGGTGACCTTGGCGGAATAGATTTAAAATACGACGTAGCGATATCAACATGTTGCGGCGCTTTAGATAACATAGTGGTCGACACAGTGGAGACAGCCCAAACCTGTGTGGAACATCTCAAGAGACATGACATTGGACGTGCAACCTTCATTGCGCTGGATAAGCAACAGCACTTGATGCAGCACATGCAGAGATCAGGTCAATTGTAAGTATATCAACCGAAAGATGTCCACTGCTGGACATAGCCCCAAGGCTCGCTACAACAAGCGTTTCTGTGCGGCCTTCCCTCCCCACAAGGTGGTCCGACGACCTGCTGAAGGTCGCGGGCAGCCGTTGAATGTTAGTGTTTAGAATAGAGTAATTGTAATCTACACTTATGGGGGCAAACAAGTAGATGACGGGTCTAATATTAACCTGTGTCTAAAAACTGTATAAGTAATGTATTGCTAATTAGGCTTAACCACTTTCTTTCGAAGAGCTGTGGAAAGGAAACCTAACCTATCATGTTTTAATTTAAAAATATGCCTGCCACCCACAAATAATATTGCTTCATTATTACGCACACCAATTACAAGCGTACTTTTAGACCACCAGAATTTTATTGGTTACTGGAGTAAATAACCTCCATCTCCAACCTCTCTTGACTCCAGAAAGCACTAGGATACCTACATTCGTTGTTTGCATAGTGACAGTTTTGCTTGTCGCAGCCCATTGTGTTCTACTTACTGTGAATTTGATTCAACACGTTTTCGGTTATAGCCCTGAGAACGCACCACGTCTTTTCGACCTTGTAAAGGTAAAGGATGACCGAGTGCTGCCCGCCTTCTACTACGCGTTACGTGACACACTCGTCGCTAGCGACCTGGAGCAGGCGTCTCGTATCGCTTACGGACACACTCGGTACAGGGTTGTCACGCTCAAAGGCGATGTTATTGAGATCGCTGGTAAGTGTGTTCATATTTCGTCTCTATTTTTTTTAAATTCTTCATGGACAAATTATATGAGTTGCACAATGGCGAACTTAATGCCACATGCATTTTCTCCCAGTCTACCTTAGGGTGGTGCTGAAATGTGTGACTAAGCAATTTAATTTATTTCTGTTTCTAAAGCTTTTATATAATTATTAGACTAGAGTATGCTTTAGCCAAATTGAAAGTGGATTTTTTGTAAAAAGAACAACAAGGAAACAAATTATATGTCATAATTTGTGTTTTTGTAGTCAGAATGCTCAAATCTTTTAATTTCATTTCTATCTTTTAGTTATTTATCATTTCACTTTAATTGCGTATGGTGGATCTCGATACAAGTACCACATTATACGTGATATATTGTTTAACTTTTAATAAATTTAAAATTGCAGCTACACGACTTACAATTTTTATTTCTCTTTAAATCTACTGATAGGTTCTTTTTTAAAGTGTAACCACTTGATTAAATGCCATTTCACCCAACACCCGATTCAAACAGGATATCGGAATCATAATGTTTTGCAGGAAATAAGAATGTGAACGAAATAATCCTACAATTTTAAAAGTCCACTGAAATAGTATATACTTATCAGAAGATAAGTATATATTTTTTTTCAATGTTATTACCATAGGTACTATGTCTGGCGGAGGTAAAACGACAATGCGCGGCCGAATGTCCAGCTCAGTGCAGCAAGACACCAGTGAGCAAGATCCCAGGGTGATTCAGGCCAATGAGAACAAACTTACTTCATTAGAACAAAGGTTCGATTTAATCTTACATACTAAAAAAATATAAATAAATAAATATTTCGGACAACTGACACACAACGCCATCTAGTTTCAAACTAAGCAGAGCGTATACTATGAAAGCTAGATAGCTTGACTGATAGAATACTTTTAATTAAGGGTTGAGTGGAAATTACTTAGCTTAAGAGTGTAAATTAAGGCACTAATAATATAGTTTACTACAATTTATCATGATGGTGGCCTATTAAAGTCGGTGATACTTTTTTTTTAAAGTTAATTATTAAATAATAATGAATGCTAACAGGACGAGTGCTACGTTTTTTTTTACAATGAACTTATCTGTAAGTGCTGTATTATTTGTAAAGTTTATATTTGTTCTCAGATTAACCGAACTGCGTGCTGAACAGTCTGAGCTGGAGGAAACCGCCCTGTCCTTACAAAGTAGTATTCGCGAGGGGCGTACCACATTGAACAAACTTAACATTGAACTGAAGAGTTTGGAGGAACAAGTTCCTGTAATGAAGGTAAATAGAAATACATCTGTTTCTGTACTTCGGACGTAATAACCGACCTCTATTACACATATCGTCGACTGCAAAAACGCGTAAGAGCGATACCGTTTATTTACAAAAGTCACAGATATTTATATAATAGGGAAAGGACATCATTCACGCTCCATACAAGAAGTACCCAAAAAAAAGTGCCGGCCAACGAACGGTTTTATCGGTTAGAGAATGACATTCTAAGATTTTTTTCTTTAGACGGCTAAGAGGTAAGACCGATTACTTATGAGTTATATGACTTAGAAATAATAAAAAAATGCATTTATATGAGTTCGTCTGAACAATTTTTACTTCATTACTATAGCAAAAATCAAATAATGATGATAAAGAATAACTTAATCTCGCTTAATAATAATATAATATGACAAAAAGCCTAATTATATATAATCATCATTAGGTACCTAAGCACCTACGTAGGTATTTATGTGTAGGTATTAGTGTTATAAAATATATGTAAAGAAAAAGACTTCATTTCGTTACCTACGTGGCTTTATTCATATGTTATAATTCCGCAGGTCTTACGATAACATTTTCTAAACCTAATGCAGGTGGATTTATGGGAGGTTGTTGGTGCCTCGCGAACTTCATGTACCACACTATGCACATAGTGTGGGAACAGCAGCCCACCGTTCTTTTGCCAACATTGCATGAGCAATAATAATACGGTATTGCATCACACCACTCAATGATGTGTCGATGCCAATGTAAACATAATATACTCTGGCCCGAACATGCCGAGATTGAACTCTTCCTCTTATAATTATTATGTTTTCTCCCAATTCTCTGACGTGTTCTGTTAAAAGTCTGTCGCCAAGCTCGACCGTAAAAACACCATTTGGATTGATGTGCTCGCCGTAATAGCTTTTAGCTTGTTTTATTTGATAAATATCCAAACTAAATAATATTAAATCCTCTTCTGAGAGCCTTGGAAAATCATCGAACTCGGGCATATCGGCTGAAATTGTGCTCGTGTTCTATTATAATTATGCCTTATAACTATATCAGCCAGCGTGTTCGGGATTGACATTCTATGGTTTATTATGGCCAAAAAGTATTGGGCACGAATTGCATTAATTATAGCAGCCGCTATCTTAAAACAATCAAACATGTGAGGAAGAGCACGATTTATATTGACATGTCTCAAAAATCTAAAATCCTATGAAACGCCCATTAACTACCTCCACAACCCACCGACAGATAGTAACAAGGCGAGTTTTATTTGCTTGCATCGTTGTCAGATGGGTTTCATTTCGGAGCTTGGCTTCAGGCATATGTGCACAATATCCCAGTGACTCCATTGGTGATATTAGATAGAAATAGATATAAATAGAAATAGATAATTGATACATAAATGTAAATGCTCATTTTATGATTTTCGGAGATCCATTTTGGGTCTAAAAGTTGGTCGTAGACGTTTGTTGTAATAATAAAAAATCTTTAAAAGATCATTTGCCGTAAGATGACACAGTTTTTTTTTTACTGGCCGGCACTTTAATTTTTGGGTACATTTTGAATGATGTCCTTTATAAATTTTTATTACATTCCTATAAAATATACCGTGTGGTGATGGTTTATGAACACGAAGTTTTATTTATCCCGTGGGTGTCGTAAGAGCCGGCTAAGGCAGAAAACTCGCAGGACAACAGCACTGCAAAGTGAAGGAAAGCTTGACACAATTCCTATACCAACCCGTCTGGCCAGCGTGGTATAGTAGGCCAAAACCTCCTTTCTAAGGAAAAGCCTATATCCAGCAGTGGACTAATAAAAATTGGAGATTGACGACTAATAAGTATTATAATGCAATGTTTTGCAAATTACTTTTACGCCTTTTTGTAATTTCAACGATATACATATACAACACTAAAATGCATTCTACTAACTAATACAATCTATTATTTGTTTCTTGTTCTTTCTTCTGTTAAAATTTAGAAAACATTGATACGCAGTTTTGCAAAATATTCTTACGCCCTTTAATCTTACTGACGAAGTGTCAAGTCAAATCAGTGTCCATTTAAACGTCAAAAGAGTGTTCATTTTAACGTCAAAACAGAGCTTTATTATGAATTTGCATCGTACCTTGTTGCTGTCAGCTAATGTAGCTCTACTATTCGATTCGATAATTTCAAAAAACAAGTGAGCCTTGCAGTAGTCGCAAATATTGTGTAACATTTGATATCTAGTAGCGCTCATTGTTTAAATGGAGTAGCGCGAGCTTCCTCGCCTTTCTGTTACACATTTCCGTCCCTTGTCACGATATAGTTTTCACAGATCATAAAAAAAATGTTACACATCAAAAACAACAAGAATATAGTTACAAATCTAATTTGCAATATCTTATAGAACACTTAATATTTTGAAGACTGTTAAATTTTTTTTTTTTCAGAATTATAAATTCTAAATTCTACGTCTGGTTATAAATACACTAAAACAATTTGTTATGTGTTAATATAAATACAAATAAATTTATTGAACTATTTACATTTTCATTAGAGCTCTGTCGCCTATACTAGGTTGATTAACCTGTATCTCGGGAGTCAGTCCAGTGTCAGTCTCAATCAGAGCTACAGTGGTTACAGTAGTGTTTACAATTTATGCAGTAAATTAGGTAACAAAAAAAAAAAAGAAATAAAGAAGATTGAGATCAAATCATGAGATTAACATTCTGGTACATTTAAATACAAATGCAAAATTATGTGTGTTAATGTGTTGCCAGAATCAAATCAAACAACAAGAATTGAAAGCTACTAAGAGCAAAGTAGATCCGAGGAAGAAGGCAGAGTTAGAGGCCACACTGAATACTGCAGAGGAGAAACTTGAAACGGCGAAACACAATGCTGCAGAGGTAAAATTAGTTTCAATTTCAGTTTCTAATTTCATAATTAGTGTGTAATAATAATAACTGGACTCATCTCACACACGGCCGTCTGTTCCCAAACTAGGCAGAGCCTGTACTTTGGTAACCGGACTGTTGATACACATACTTATATATTTTTACATACATACATATTATAAATAAATTACACCCAGGCACAGAGCAAATGATCGTGCTCATCACACAATATTTGTCCTGAGTGGGAATCGAGCCCAACACCTCTGGCTTAGCACTCAGTCTCAATAACCTAGTGGTAGTGGTGGGTAGTGTGTAAGTAAATTTGACGGGCCTGTTGGTCACTTGACCTCTCAGACCGCTTAAACCATAATGAGTGATGTGCTTCTAATAGGATAGCACTGATTTTCTGGAACGCCGTTTTATCACTCCGGTCGAGCCTGGTGCATATGTGCCTTAGCAGGGGTCTCCCACGATTTTTAATAAGTCATCAATATACTAAACGAATGTAAGTGTGATCATTTTAACACATAATCGATATATGTATAGGACACAGTAATGTGACTGCTCTGCAAACTAGTTTATTATCTTTTACGGAGTGTCACCAACCCTATTTATCCCGTGGGTGTCGTAAGAGCCGACTAAAGACGCCGAAAATATAGTACGATATCTTCGTAGTTTAATATATTTTATGTTATTACGAGTCATATTAAGACCGTTTAAATAAAAAACTATTTTAACGAATTAAAAATAAATATAATTATTATTAACTTCTTTATTGTTTTCATTTTCTAGGTTGAAAAAGAAGTACACGGAGTTGACGCTCAAATATCAGCTGTGGCCGGCGGCAAAGTAAAGGATCTACAAAAGAACGTCAACGATCTCACCAAGAAAATCGACAAAGTGTCGACCGAGATTACCAAACTCAAAGTCGCTATTAACACTAGTATAAGGTAGTTTTTTTTGTGGTTATTTCTGTAAATATTTTTAACTATGTTCGATAAGGAGACTTATGACAAAAAAGTATTTCTTGTTTTTAAATTCAAATTACCCATAGAGTGGAGTTTTTATTTTTTGGATACCAAAATCGTGCTAAAGCATTTAGAACTCTGACAAAAGCGACCATTAAGTTAAAGACCATCCGCTACACAACGGTGTTTTCGCACAAGAAAGTCGGTAGAACTCATTAAAAATAAACCTATTTTTAGTGAGTTTTTAATAAATTGTTACACATTTATCGTTTTGCAAGAGATTTAACTGTTGAAACTTTATTAAGCCAACTTTAAAATCAGTTATGTAACAATTTAAAAAAGAAAACGTTCTCTTTGACAGAAATGCAAAAAAATCAAAAGATAAGATTAACCAAATGGAGTCAGATCTGAAAGAAACAGAGAAAAACATCGAGAATTTGAACAACCAGAAAAAACAACTTACCCTGGACAGCCAGCAATTTCACAAAGAGATAGAAGAGGTAGGTTGTGTTTCTAATGCTTTGATAAAACCTTCACTTAGAATCTGTTGAATTGCCTACATAATTTGTGACTTGGTCACTAACATGTTGGTCAAAATTTGAACCGATTAGGGTAGGGAATCTAGGTGAATTTATTGGGATTAGTGGTGATTTATTTGTAATTACTCTTACTCTTTGTGCTTACTCTGGACTGGTAACAAAAAGAGCCAGAATAGGGAGGTGTTCTTTCTAAGGTGTATGGTACAGCTAGGAATTACTAAGAATTATTAAACGACATTAATGGTTTTTAAATTAAGAACGTGTAATTGAGTGCAGCATTATCTAACTTTCGAAAATTTATTCCATGATTTTCTTAAATTTTTGGTAACAGCTAGAAGAACAAATAGCGGAAGGTTCAGGAGAATTCTCGGGGCTTAAGCAAGAGATATCCAAACTGCAGACCAAAGAAAACAAAATGAAAAGCGAGAGGCTGGAGGCAAATAACGCAATCACTAAGATGGAGAAGATGATACAAGACTGTAAGACCAAAACGCCCCTGTGGGAGAAAGAAGTAAGTTACTTTTATGATAGGCTTTTTTCAATTTTATCTGGCTGGCTGGTTCTGGAATAGAAATAAATTTTCCCTTAGTAAAAATATTGATTGTCTCTTTTATTGCTTTGAAGTTGTTTAAATAAAGAAATATATTGTTCCGCGTGTATTCTTATTTACAAGGAAGAAATTTCCTAAAGAGAACGATTTGTAAAAATCCTGTATTTCTGTTGCTAAAAAATACAAATGATTTTAATAAATAATTTATATATACGTTTTTGTAACACTGTATAATAGTTATTAATATTAGATGTATTTTAAATCCTAAATCTTCCTTGCAGCTAGCATCACTAAAACTAGAAGACCCTGGTTTAGAAGGTGTTCCAGGTATAGAACCGGTTGTACCTCTTGTACGTCATACAGATGAGGAGTTGGAGGCGGCAATGGTGGAAGAACTGCGGAACCGGGTGACTGCTCAGAAGGCGAGGATTGGAGATACCAAACCTAATATACAGGCTATACAAGTAAGTGTTATGTACGACAAGATAATCCCACTGATAATACTGATTCAACTTTAAATTGATTTACGTTGGAAATTATACGTGGGGTATACTGAAAGTCTCTGGGTTTGGCCACTTACAATAAAAGAATGAAAAAACAATTATGGAATTCGAAAATGAAACTTTGGGAACATCTAACTTTTTAATTTGCGAGACTGTCCTGATTCCAAACAACGATCTACAATCTGGGCCTTTCAAGACGAGCTAAAGCCGACTACAGTTGTTCGTTCTCGAAGCACTTCAAAGAAGATGGTGGCCACGTTCGTTGGAAAAACCGGCCATGTTGCGACTATTGCTCTTGAAGATCGTAGTTTGTTTACCACAAGTCATCGCCGAACTTCGAAAATCTAACTCAAAGCGACGCATCATCCTGCACCACGACAACGCAAGCTCACACAGCGCTCGTCAAACGATTGAGTATTTGAAGCAGGAAAAAGTAGAAATTCTTGACCATCCTCCATACAGTCCTGACCTTTTTTTTTTCCGTGCTGAAATCCCCTCGGATACCACCTGTCGGTGGCATGTCGGACTCGAACGGACTAAAACCGCACGCCGTCTCGGGTACTAATAGCCGGGGAACCAGGTATACCCTAGAAAGGAAGTCCCTGGTGCCCCGACATACCTCGGGTCATCTACAGACGAGTAGACGACCCCCCCCGTGTGGGAACCCCATGTTCCCTGTGCTCCCTGGAAGCGAGCCCCCAGGCCTGCGCTTATGGAGGACGGAGGTCGTTCTGCGACCTCCGACGCCTGAGTCGCCTGCGGTACCTGGCCCGTTCCCGGGCCTGGCGGGCCGGGAGAGTCCCGGTCCCGCTCCGCCGTCTCCTTCGCGAGCATAACTTGCTCGCAGAAGGAGACGGCAGAGTTCCACGCACTCTCGCTCCGCACGATAGCCGCAATCAGGCTATCAAGCGAGAGAACTCCCACTCCGATGTCCGCCACGAGGTCTCGCCTCTACTCAACCCACGCCGGGCACTCTGCCAGCGTGTGGAGAGCCGTGTCCACGGTCTGGCCATCGCAGTGGTGGCACTCAGGCGTTGGCTCCTTGCGGATCCGACACAGGTGATCCCCGAAACATCCTCTCCCAGTGATCACCTGCGTCAATCGGTATGAGAGGGTCCCGTGACGCCTCTCGAGCCAATCCTCCATAACGGGTATGACGTCATAACGGTCATAACGGGTCGGTCTAACGCCGTGATGACGGCGTGCCCGATACAGTCCTGACCTAAGCCCTAACGATTTCTTTACATTTCCTAAAATTAAGAAAGTCTTCGTGGTCAAAGGTTCCAGTCTGGTGAAGAAGCAGTTGACGCTTTCAAGTCAGCCATTTTGAACACCCCCACTTTAGAGTGGAATAAATGTTATGCCATCCATCTGGTTTGAGCGAATGGAAAAGTGTATTAAGCTACGCGGTGAATACTTTGAAAAACAATAAAAAGTACTATAAGGTTCTAGTTGTTTTTTTCTTCAAACGAAAAAACTTAAAAGGCATGCCTCGTAGTAAGCGGCTTGGCGACCACTACGCCATCCGTGCGGTCACTAATATATATCTGCATATTTTTAGGATTACAAGATCAAAGAACAGTTATATTTGAGGCGGGCAGCTGAATTAGATGAAATCACACAAAAGAGAAATGAAATGAGGGAAGTTCACGACCAACTCATAAAGAAGAGGAGTAATGACTTCATGGAAGGTATAGACATGTACAGTTTTTTTTTAAAGTTCATTACTTAAAGGTACTTGAATATGTTCATCGAAAATAGCTCTCTATTACTTCTTTACATTCAGTATTTGTTTTTAGGTTTTAACCAAATATCAAATAAATTAAAAGAAATGTATCAAATGATCACACTGGGAGGCGATGCTGAATTGGAACTTGTTGATTCAATGGATGCGTTCATAGAAGGTGTCACATTCAGGTGATTATAATGCTTTATACTAAATTAATTTGAAGTACCCAGAAGGAGGTTGTTTAAGTATCAATAACTCTTTAGAAAAATTTAAAACCTAAACAACATTATAAACATTAAAAATCTTATTATAATTGTACCTTTTCAGTGTACGACCACCCAACAAATCTTGGAAGAACATATCCAACTTGTCGGGCGGTGAAAAGACACTGTCGTCTTTAGCGCTCGTCTTCGCCCTGCATTATTATAAGCCAACACCGTTGTATGTGATGGACGAAATTGACGCGGCTCTGGACTTCAAGAACGTCTCTATTGTTGCTAATTATATAAAGGTAGGCATTGATTTCTTTCGTATATTATTATTACAAGCAAAAATTGTGATTTAATCCACTACCGGCACCATCCGACCAACAACTTCTAGACTATCTCTGTTACTAATCTCTTGGAGTTTCTTGGAATACAATTTATATACGCCCAAACTCCAAGAGTTTTCTAGTCACTAAAGAGTTCCAAACAATGTTTGTTTACATAGTTTCTTAAAAATAAATATTTGTAGGTGATATGTTGATGAAGTTTACTCTTGAATAAGAATTACTAGACCCTTTTGGTGCAGAAAACATTACAGTTTTCTTCATTCCTTAGTTTACACCTTTAGAAGTTGAGTTTTTTCCCAATTGGTTCATAAATGACATAGTTCTGAAGTAACACTATTAGAACGTATGGTGACAGATTAAGAATATGTAATAAGAGTGTGAGCACTCCTATTCATCCCGTGGGTATCGTAAGAGCCGTAAAAGGAAACCTTGAAACAAATCCTATACCAACACCTTTGACCAGACAGGTCACCAGGGCAAAACCTCCTTTTTATGTCCAGCAGCGAAGTAGTAAAGGCTGTTATGAAGTCGGTTATTGGGGGTCTCGAAAGTTCCTATTTATTGGCATCACAATTGCACAAACTTGTGATGCATTGTACATCAAAAAGCCATTTCTATGTAACAAAGATCGTGTGCCCTTATAATAATAGCTATTCTCAGTATTATGATCTTAAAAAAAATGTTTTTTTTTCAGGATCGTACAAGAAACGCCCAGTTCATTATAATCTCATTACGATACAATATGTTTGAAGTATCCAATCGTCTGGTGGGCATTTACAAAACTGAAGATTGCACAAAATCTGTAACCATTGACAACAAACTGCCCGAACAACCTTCTAACGATGGTGCCAACGATGCCCCTGCCAATGGTGAAGTCACTGCTAACGGTCTATTCCCTGCTAACGGTGTAAGTCCTGCTAACGGTTTAGTGCCTGCTAACGGTGTAGTCCCAGCTAACGGTGAAGTCCCTGCTAACGGTGAAGTCCCTGCTAACGGTGAAGTCCTTGCTAATGATGCCCTTGCTAATGGTGTCGCCCCAGCCAACGATGCCCTTGCTAACGGAGTATCCCCTGCCAACGATGCTTCTGCTAATGATATTATTGTCTCTTAATGTTATGGAAATATGGTATAACATAAGATTATATTCCTACTCTATTAATAGTTGTCTATTATATCACAGTAGGTGCGATAAACGGAAGCGGAGCCACCTTCACTCAAACCACGGATCCCTGACGTTACACAAACTTATGGACAGATTTATCGTTTACCATCGAGATAATGCCTGTTTTTCTTAATATTCCCAAGAATTCAGAATATGAGAAAACTAAGACAAAAAACGTTTACCTTAACTACGGGTCATGCTTCGCCACAAATGGGGCGGCTCGACCGGATTGATACTACGGCCTCACAGAAAACCACTCTTAAGCCATTCTTTCATTGCTTTTCACCGAATGAGTGAGGTTAATGAGGCCACAAACCCTTCCTCATAATTCTTGTGTGGAGATATAAAAGGTTCGCAACGCACTTGTGACCCGTGAGTCGCATGCGTCCATGGACCGCGGTAACCACTTATTATCATGTGACAAGTCGACTCTATGCCATAAAAAATTAGACTAAGGTGCGTAGTCCTAACCCTAACAAAGAAAACAGCTCATTCAGCCAGGCCCACACCGCACTTTACGTAATAAGTTAAAAGTACACGTGGTCATCGTTTAGAGGGCTGCACCGCTGGCCGGCTCGCACCTGTAGTCGTACATTAGCCCGATGCGCACGCGTCATTTTTTAGTCATTTACCACTCACACTCTATACTATATTTCTGAACTTGTGCCTACAGTATATTGGCACTTCAGTGTTGTATTGATTTATTTAATAAATGGATGTGTCATAGGATCAATAGTTTTATTGCAAATACTGATTATCATACATGGACCGTTCCCATATGCAGGACAGTGACCCCCGATAACATTTATAACGAATCAATCTGTGAAATGACTTGGACAACCAGTTACCGTCAGTGTTGACTTCTCTCTAGTGAAGGAGAAGTAGTCGTTATTACAGTATCCTCAAGAGTTATTATAGTTAAAGAATATACTTCAGTGCAATCTGACGAAGACACACCGAACTACGGAGTAACTGCTAATCCCGTATCGCGATAGAAATGTCCTCTCGCCGATTTGCATATAATACCAATCCGAAATCCTCCCTTTGTGTTGGAATGACATCATCATTTCTCCGTATTGTTTATTTGATAAACAAGTTAGTTTTAGAGTAATAGACGCCGAACTTACAAATAAGAATTTCCCAGTGTGATTTGAAAATCTCTACAAAAATACTTAGATCAGTTGTTAGAGCGAAAAAGTCGTGCATCCTTAACGAACAATTGATTGCCTTCCCTATTTTTGAAGAAAAAAAAGTAGCAAAGCTGTTTTCTTTAGAATTTCAACGTGATTTTATTTTCATTACAAGTACTTTACAGAAAAAATGATGGAAAAACTTGTTAAATTTTCATACCTGTTATACTGCATAAAACGAAGTGCAAATTATAGGTAAAAAAAACACGTGTAAGTTTATTGAGTTTGAAATATTATCAATATACATGTTTAATTACATTAAATAAATTAAAGAATTGTCTTACACAAGCAATAAATAGCTGGATCTCCTAAAAACAATTGATATCAACTACCCATATTAAAAGGTTTGTTTAGCGTACAAAGTATCAATTTTTAATGATGCTACTTAGTTCCTTTTTGTCATGTTCAATGGTTTTAACCTTTTAAATCGATGAGTGTGTACTGGATATTGCTTGTCATATTATTGCTCACAATGTTTTACTTCCTTAGCTTATATACAAATGAATGATGTCTCATCATTATGTCTCTATTCGCCGTCAGTTTTTATAAAACTTGCATCTGTTCGCCTTTTTCAACATGGTTCAAAAGAGATACAGCCCTTCCACAGTTTAGTCATTTAGTATCGATAATGTTCGAAATAGATCCTCGGGATCTTGTTTCTATGGACAAACAAAAGTGCACACTTAAGTGTTAGCGCGTCACTGATGGATTTTGTAAATAATTTTCTCTTTCGGCCTTCTTTCTAAGAGAAATATAAACATAATACGTTATAAGGTTCGATATCTCCATATAACTATAGACCTGACTTTTAAAATCTCTCTCCTTCACAGACCTAACGTCTGTGAAGGAGAGAGATTTTAAAAGTTGACGTTACAAGATGACGTTGTGTTTACTTCGTCGCTCAGTTAATGGCGGCGTACATTCATAATAAAAAATTATAGAGTGCATACCTCATCTGTTTAGTAAATTCGCACGACTACTGTATATTCTTGTTTTCCTTAAATAGTTTAGTTGATAAGAACACTGAACAGCAAAGTGCTATTTAGATGACATAAAATTTATGTATGCCTTATAATCCTTGTACTTATTACTACCTGCTACTTACTATTACCTGTTTTAGTTTAGTTATATATAGACGCAGATAACAAATTCAACCTTCACCATTTATAAACAAGTTTAATATTCTTTAGACAAGATAGTCAAAACATACGATCAATGTACTACGCCGGTTAACATTTACAGCTATACATATAGTTATACAATTTAAATTTACAGTGAAAGTGCTTACATTACGGAAGGATTTATCGTAAGAATTTGAGTTTTTTTATGAAGATAATGAGTCCAATGGCCAATACAGATATCATAATCCATTGACCAACACGCTTCTCCCGGAATGTTCGCTACAACGAATGATCAGATTAATAAATAAGGGTGCTACCATTATCTTAAGCATGCATAGTTGCCAGCCACTATAAAGGAGGCCGTACACAAATTACAAAAATTAAATAAATAATGTAAACCACTATAAAAATTATAATATGGCTGTCTACGAAAGTGTATGGTTTTGCCGACAGTAAAATAAAAAAAACTAGTACAACTAACAAAAATGGACGACACTGTCTTTACAAAATAAAATGTGTTAGTAAATACTGAGCCGTTTGTATAAAAGACCTAAAATAAAATACCTGAGGCTTTGTCTCTTCAATATAAATACTAAATGTGTTTTGTATTATGTGTTTTAGGAGCAAAGAGACTTCGTACCCTTCGAAGAAATAAACTAAAGATGCACACTCTAATAAAAAAAACAACGCCAATTCGTATCATTCGAATGTATATTGTTAAAATGCTATTCAGAAAATAAACAAGTTTATACGATGAATTGTCACGTAGTAGTAGAATTGTAATTATTGCTCAAAAAACGTCAATGCACAGATGATTGTACAGCGTCGTTGTCGCGACCCTCGCGGTACGTACCTACTTGGTACGTATTCCATGCGCCAAGGTTGTATGACATGTATGTAAGTATTTTTCTTAATAATGAATAGTTTTTAGAGTTCCGTACTCAAAGAGTGCCAACGGAACCCTATTTTAGTTGCAAATTATTCAAATCACAGAGTAACTGTAACCAAACAATTTTCTTCTGGTTATCGGTAATTTGTTTTGAAGTGAAAACTTTAGGCGCGTTGGGCATTTTTGAACAACAAACCAAAGAATGTAATATATGGTTTAACAAAATCTAATTTGTTACCACAAAATAATTTGTTTTTTATTGAAAACTGATAAATTAATATTTAAAAACAGTAATGACAACTCCTATCTTTTAGTATGGATCTTGTTCTAACGGAGTGGTGTGAGCAAGATCGCGCTATAGGACACTGTACACGAGAGTGAGGAGAACTGGTGCGTGGTATACACAGTTGAAAATAGTTGATTAAAAGCAATTTGACATGAAAAACAATTCATATCATAATTAAGTAATTTTTATCGAAAATCGACACTCCATCGATTTTTTGCACTTTAAAGTGTAGTTTTTGCATTTTTTACTGCACACTTTGGCATTGTTTAACGTCACACTAAAAACGCGGTCACGAAGTGAAGGTGAGCGTAACTGTGCATGCTTCTAATTTAAGCCGATTTGATTTAGCGTCGTTTTTCGAGCCGTGATTGTAAATCTATAGTTTATTTCATCGAAGTTAGTGCCACATTTTGTAGGCCCTTTCACAAAAGTATTGTGGATCAGATGATGGCAGTGGGATAGTGTGCAAATTGTATCATAGGTGTAGCTAATAATACATACATACACATGCGTATTTTGTCACCGAAGGGGAGGGAGGCATATTTAAGGTCCACATCTTGCCCACTATTTTTGGTCCCACTTACCTGAAAGAGACCAAAAATAGTGGCAACAGGTCTATCTATAGTATAGGTACAAAAATAGTAATAATGTGTAAAACACTTTGTAACATTTGCAATAAATTTATTTCTGCATTTCTAAACGGCTGTATATGCATATGCTGGAGGTGCATTACATAAAAGTGTTTTATAAACGCGATATATTTAAAATTATTGTAATATATATTTTAAAACTTAGTAATAATAAAATTAGTAATTTTAATAGAAGTCTTGCGTTTTTTGCAGGAAACACGTACCTAAGTATATCGCGAATTCCTTATCACTAATCACACTTTGTGTGGGATGAAAATTTAATAACATTTTTTCCAATTGTAGGCCCTTTTTGCAAATCGACATCAAGTTGATATTATTAGTGATGATGATGATTTATAGTATTCAAGTTGTCCAATCGGCAAACGCGAAACGAATATACTTTTGTTATGGATCTATGAATATTTTATTCTTTTGTGAAAACTTCTTTTAGTGAAACCAAAATCGATTTTTAACTTATTTATTGTTTTTTTTCATTTTCATTTCAACAGTCATTTTTAACGGTTATGAATACGGTTTTTTTAAATCATTTAAGTATTACACATGAATCCACTGCTGATAATTAAGTATTTAGCCCTGGTAGAAGGAGTAACAAGCATACTCATAAAATACCATTATAAGGTAAAATAAAATTTAGAAAAAAGGCTAATGCGTTTGTATAGAATACACAAACCATCACCTTAAATGTTTCTTTAATGTAAATTATATATGTATTTATTGCTGAAGCTTTACTTCATACCTACAAAGTATTAAAATAACTTTATAAAGAATATATTAGACAGGTTTCTATATCACATTTTTAAATTTTAAGCATTTCGGCTAGTCATTTTACAAAGGCTGGAGATTAACGTATAAAAACTGTTTAATGTAAGGTATTAATACCTGCAGTCTCAATATATGAGGGTAGACAAAAATTTGCTCACCAAATGTCGTTTGATTAGACTGGTCTTTTTTATACTTCAATTGGTCACTGACTGAAGGTTAACCAGAACTCTGCACTATTCGGCCCGTATTTTCTCACACTCTCTTTCAACAATATTTACCAATGGACAAGAGTGAGATGCAAAATGCTACATATTTATGTGTAAAGAAACTAAGGCTACATTGGAACGCTGATAATATATATTATACCTCTTGTACCATGACCAAAACTTCTGGTTTCAAGTACACGTCTTTATTAGGACTATTTTGGATTTCTTGTGCGACCGACGAGTGCCAAGCGAAAGTGAGCACCGTGGCTGGTACTAATCTTAGATCAATAAGGGTCTTATTCGCATCGTCTTCTAAATTCAACTTTTGTCCAGTAGGTGTGTTTAGAATGAACGGTAGTCCACTATGTTCCAGGTTTTCTTGGACGAAATCGTGGATTTCGGTAAAGCGTTCGTAGACGGAAAATGTTCCCTGAAAAAAAAAAACATTAAAGAAATAATGGGATTTGAACGTACATTTATTTATTTTTTTAAACGTAAGAAAGATCTTAAAGAATATGCAACTTATATTTTTATCTGAACTAGATAAGATTTTCATGGAAACACTGTAAAACTATTTTGCTTGATCCTAACCCTAACCCAGAAGGGTAAATTTTTAAGCAAACATAAAGAAATGAATATAAGTAAAAATAAATATGAAAAAAATAAAGAATACACTGCAATATCAAGTTGCATCAAACAATCGTGTGATAAAAATAATTTAAAAAAAAATACTTGCTCTAAGTACACAGTCTACAGTATTTTAATTATGACATACCTGCAACAATATGCCGTCTGGGAAGCGTACCCTTATAATGGCGAATTTGTATTTCCGCATCTCTCTAATTTCGTCCTTCTCCCTCATTGCCTTAGTTCTTAACATTTGACTTCTCTCCATAGCTTCAATCCTGCAGTCAAATGATGCATAAGAATTAGAACTCGGTTACAGCTTATTTTAGCCTGATTGTAGATGGTTACTACAACTCGTGTCTTACTTTAAAGGATGAAATTATTTACATCCATATACTGTTATTTTACAGAAACAAAAAAGATTTTAATTGATAGTTTTCAGTCAAATTAAGCGGTATTAAGGCAGAAGATAAAGAATGAGATAAGAAGGGAAACTAACATGATAGACGTAATGTTTAAAACTACATACATTTAAGGATTATTTTTATGATATAAAGGAGTTTATGAAGGATACGCCTCATATCATATTTCATAAACTTCTTTATATCTACTTTTTAAACAACAAGCGTTACGTCTGCGTCACTTAAAAAAAGTGTTTTATTATGTGTGACGTCTTTCCTTTTGCTTTTTGATTTGCAAAAAATTGCAAAAATTTGCCAAAATTTGCAAAAATTCGCCAAAATTTGCAAAAATTCGGCGGTTTTCAAAAAACAACTCCTTGTGACGATAATAAGTATTTCAATAAGTTCCAGCAAGAGCCGATAATCAAGAATATAAATTATAAAAAATAGCTGACCCATGCAACATTGACTGCTTCTCGCAAAAATAATTATTTCTTTCTCGTTATCGCAACATTTTTAAATTCCAACCCGTAGTTTCTGAGATTACCCTGAACTTACAAACTCACAAACTTTACCTCTTTATAACATTAGTATACATCTCTCATAGTCTCAAGTCACATTCAATAACTCACTTTTCATTTTATGCGATTTGAAAAAAATCTGTTCGTTTTAAAATTTTCTTTCATAAAAACCTTGTTCTGACTATACCGAACACAAAAAGAATATATTATCCAATTTGGTGCAGTCGTTCGGAATGTCTGTGCGTACATACATTTCGGCGATTTATTTTTAGATAGATAAGTACCTCAATTGTTGTTCTCTTTTTATCTCCTCTGGTGAGAGAGCGTAGAAAGATGCAGGGAGTTGCATTTTGTTCGCCGCTTGCGATGGCAGTAACACTTGCAGGTTTCTGTCCAACTCCAGTTGTATTGGCTCAGCAGACCGTAATGCCTCGATTAACGCCTACAAAATAGATATATATTCGAATAATAAAATATCTTATAGATTTAGTAAAAAGTTTGTATGTAAATATTTGTGACGTCATAAGTCACTTTTGTCAAATTATTTCCATTCAATGGCTGATTAATGATAAATAAAAAATAATAACATACTTGAAAATATGATTACATTTATCATCCATTACATATTAATTCATTTCAATTTTAAAAATAACTAGCGGACCCGACAGACGTTGACCTGTACACACGTCTTTAATCCGAAAAAATAAAAAAACATTTTTTAGTTGACCGAATTGAATCTAAACCATTCTCTGTCCGGTCCAGTCATCGGTCCAGTCATTTAGGTGGAGTTCACCTACATACACACGCACAGAATAATTATATATATAACGACTAGCTGTACCCTGCCACGCTTGGCTATGGTACATTGATGAACATTGAAAGAAAATTGACGCGAAGACAAGATAAAAACAAGCAGTTGAAGTGATTATTTCGTGACAAAATTTGAGCTCAATCGGTGCATAAATTTTGAGTTTTTGAAACATACACAAACAATCTTAACATTTTTATTTACTTAGAAGAATTATTTTAAATATATGAAACTATCTTATTATAATATAAGCTTTTGCCCGCGACTTCGCTTGACTAAGCATTGATTTTGTTCATTCTTTCAGGGTAAAAAGTACTACGAGTATGTATTCCAGATTAAGATATATCTTTATACTGAATTTCATCAAGATGCAATAAGCCGTTTGGTTGCAATGACTAGCAAACATTCTTCTATTTAAACTTTTACATTTATAAATAATTATAATACTATAATATAACACTATATATAATATGGTACTTTACGGTCAAGCTTTCAATAGATTCCACATTCTCTGTGTGGAACACTAAGAAGTCCTCCTCGGCTCCGTTGGTGTTCGTGAGCTTCTCCTGCCTGAAGCCGGCCGCGAACAACAACTCTATCGCGCCCTCTATCGGTTGTACGCGTTCGCAGAATACTCTAAAAACATAGAGAATTATATGCAAGGAGATTGTTTACAAAGCGGGCACCACTACTACTACTCAACAGAAAATACCTACATAATTGAAGCTCAAGATATTTGAAAGGTTTTTTTACTAAAAAAATTAAGTCTACTAAATTAGCGTGGTTTTGTGTGGCGACGGGTTAATAATACGTAGTGTCAACACCCCAAATCATCCCATGGGCAGCGTAAGAGCCGACTAAGGGAGCAAACTACGCAGGACAACATTACTGCAAAAAGAGAAGTAAAACTTGACACAAACCCTATACTATTAAAGACTGTTGATGAATGGGAGTTCATGATATGTGATGCCCCGTACCAGAAACCCTTACGTTAGTCTCACCTATTGCTCATTCTAATTTTTTGATACTTCTCGTCTTCGGGATATGTAATAAGATTTTCAAGATACTTGCAGAGAGTCTCCACACATGTGTCAATCTGAAAATATAACCATGGTCAGTTATATGGACACTAATTTTGGCTGGCCTGTTCATCTAGTGGTTAGTGACCTTGACTGTTAAGCCTAAAGTCTTGGGGGTTTCATTTCCACATAGGATAAATCATTGTGTGATGAGCAGATCATTATTCTGGGTGTAATTTTTGTATTATATGTATGTATTTAGTAATGTATTGGTAAGTTTATAATTTGTCTGATTACTACAGCTAGGCAGAGGTGTGCTCTGCCTAGTTCGGCATCCGACAGTCTTGTGTGATAATTGTGAATTATAAAAAAAATACAATGTGCCTTTTCTAAGGCGGTTGCAATAAACATACCTTTTCTCTATTATTATTATTACAAGACTGTATTATAAGACAGGCCGTAAGCCCTCTCTCTGCTTCCAATTGTTCGTAAAGGAATGTCTTTATATTTTTCTTCCACTCATCCCGGGGTAAAATATCATTGCTGATAATTGGGCACCTAAAAGAATATCAAAATAGTGTTAAACAAATATTTACTAGTTGTGTCGTATGCTCCAGTAAGGGATAATACATTAATTAATAGTGTTATTGAGTTAATGTGTTAGAGAGGAAATTAAAATCGAATGCTTACTTAAAGTACACTCCTGAAGCGGCATAGTTCTTGGGCAGATCAATTTCTTTCTCCTGCTTTTCATTTGATGACACGCTTGATTGGGAAGCTAACTCCCTCTCGTTGGCTTTTTCATTTTCTAGCTCCTTTTTAACTTGCGCCTGTTAGACACAAATGATAAATCATGTACGGTAATTGGGATATGAGAAACTCCGCAGACTTTGGAACTCCTAATTTTTCCGAGATTCTTGGAGGCAGCTCAAGGAAATCTGGAGAATGCCTGCAAAGCAGCCTTAGTATGCTTTACTTATTAAGTTAAACCTGGAGTTGAGCTTTCAAGGTTAATCATATAACAATCTTAAAAGGAATAAACGTCAATCTATATCTTCAAATTTATACGCAAGCTCCATTGAACAAATTGTCTGAAGCTTTCTCTGTTATGAACTTGGAGTTGGCGCGGGTGTGTAAATGGAGCAACCAGTATGGACTAGTTGTTAATCCATTAAAGCCCAAGTTTATTTTTGTGGGCAGTCCCAGGATGCACTCTAAAATCAACTGGTCTGAATTACTGACATCAAATTAAATGACGCTGTATTCTCGATTAGTAGTAGTGTTAAGAACCTAGGCATTCTGTTTGATAGTACTTTATCTTGGGGCCCCCAATTACGTGAAGTTAGTAGAAAAATGTATGCATCTGCCTTCAAAATTCATGCATTAGAATTAATTTTGGTTTACGCAAATATGATCATGTGACTGAATTTCGTAAATTGCTCAAGTGGCTCCCATTTCGACTTCGACGGAATACACATATTCTTTCTATACTTTATAGTATCTTGTTCAATCCTTCTACCCCACCTTACTTAAAGGAACGTTTTGTATTGCTCTGTGACACACATCTAAGATCCTAGAGGTCGTCGGAATCTTTGGAGCTAATGGTACCAAGCCACACTATCATATTCTATGACACGTGCCCAAAGACTAACAGCATTTAAGAATATGGTCAAACATCCTTAGGTTCTTCAGTACCTACTCTTTGCTTTCAATAACTGTACATGACTAAATGATTTCATGGTTATCAACATATATGGTATATATATTATTTATGTATGTATATGTATGTGTGTATGTATAGTTATATATAATTTATATCTTTATTTTTACCCTAATGTAGCTTTAATACACCTAGACTACCCATTGTTTCTTCTCATCTACCGTCGATTTGTCCATCCAAAGGTTGCCTGCCTCTAAGAGATCGCTTTTAGCGGTAAGGCCGCCCATTGTACATATCCGTCTGTAACATTTATCTAACATATTGTAATTGGTGTATGATAAAGAATATTCTTTTCTATTCTCCCTTAAGGGGGGCTATAAATTTAATAAAGCTTTAGTTTTGCTGCTTTTACTGCACAGATGACGAAGTGGTTTAAGCGGTCACTTCACCGTTTCCTACTCATATTGAGGGTTCGATCCTTACATGGGACTACACTGTGTGATCCACAAATTGGTGTTCTGAGTTCGAGTGTTCTTTCTGTCCGTTTCATGAATGTTTGTGAAGTCCCCCAGGACACAGGACATATTCCTAATGCGAGAGGAAATTTGCCCATTGCGAGAGTTGTCTTTTTAAAACAGAAATAGTTCGACTATGTCTTCGTTCACTACGCTCTTTCAACTCAACAAAACATGGAATGCGATTTTTTGGGCGCGCGGGATCGCGGTAAAATTACAAGATTGCTTCAACAGCAGCCCGATGTCTATAACGACCTCATAGACGAATGGCAACACGCTGGGATGAATCATCCAAGGGGCGCCATCTTTACCAATTCTTTCCATCTGTTCGCGAACGGTTGTCGAGGATATGGCTTGAGGTGGATCACTGTGTCGCTCAATTTCTCACGGGTCATGGTAACTTTAAGAGCAAGCTTTATTCATTTAAATTAGTCGAGTCACCATTGTGTCAATGCTCAACACCTAACTCTCACTATGAACAGTTTGCTCATCATATCCTCTGGGAATGTAGTCTTTGGTATAATGAACGTAATATAATGCTGAATAGCTTGCAGGTGACATCTGGGGCGGTATACTATGGGGATCTTGTGTCAACTAGGGTGAATTGCCGTGCGTTTAGGCGATTCTGCCATACATATTATAGAAATCAAACATAGCTCACGTAGGACCCGTAATATTTGTGGCCGTGGTGCTTCCCTGTTTAAAAGGGTGTATGCCCATTTTACTTCATTTTGTCTCCCGCTTTGCTAAGGAGGGAAGTGGATTTACTGTATTTCCAACTCCTCCAATTTTCTTCTGATTAATTTCGTTGCGGGTTCCAAGACAGTTTAATTTCTTCCTGGGACTTCCCGAGTGTCATAACTCGGTGTGTTCGTGGGTCACTGCTGTGGATCCTGGTGTACAGGAGTTACAGCGGTGGGCGTGTGGGTGGGATTAGTCCCAAGAAATTACGCTCTTTCAGGAAGCTATCACTATACTCACCTGAAATGTAGTATGTTTCAATTTTGTTTGAAAGACAACTGAGGAATTTGGTGAAATTATCGGACTGTGTACAATAGTTCTTGATTCAATATAATGTACGACTATATATACAATTATCACAAATAAATTTATCATGAGAAACTTCAGTATAAAATACATTGGTGGATGTGATCACTGGTGGTTTTATTTTGCGAAGCAAACTGACAAGTTCGTGGCCTGAACTTCATCGGGACTATCGTGAAGGAACATAAAATCTGTAGTGAAATGTTTAAATTGCCCCGTTCCAATTCACCTTACAGTTGTTTTTATATAGGGTTGGGTCTTTTAAATACTTTCGGCGAGCCATACATACAAGAAATAATACGAAAGAAGGAAAAAAGAATGAATTATGTACAGATACACGACTTCAGCCGTTTCGAGCTATTGTAGTCGAGTTGCATTATGGTAAATTCATGCACAGCCAAAGCGTCCAATTCTTTACAATTCAAGCGAAGTTGCACGAAGTTGCGAATATTGTCGTAAATAGTTTAGTTACCGACTGACGACGCGTTAGGGGTAGTAGGCGCTGGGGTTCATGCGAACGCACGCGCATCTATCGTCGTTGATATTAATGCATGCGTGCGAATTCACGCATCTTTTTTATCTCAGAAGAAATATGACTATGCTGATACTCAGAAAACTCTTATCTACAAATTGCAACTCCCCATCTCATTCCTGTTCTCCTTCTCCATCCAGTGGTTGCCTGGAAGAGATCGCAAATCGCGATAAGGTAAATAACCGCCAATTTTACAACTTTTGATATTTTACTGTCTGTTTTATTTTATAACTTTAGATTATAAGACACACCAATGCATACAAACTGTATTTTTACTATGTTTTTAATGTACAATAAAGAGTAATCTATCTATCTGCCTATCTATCTATATTAACGTTTAGATTATCGCTTCGATTCTTCGCTGGCGTGAATGGACCCTTATTTGGGATATACCGTAACCCTTACCCTATCTTTCTCAGCCTATCTGTTTTCTTTACCCCACTTTAACTTTTTCCAAATTTAACGTTTCCTCCCGTTTGACTACATACCAAAGTATTATATAATAAGATCTGAGGCCAACTCAAGCAGGCGGCAGGTCATAATATTTTGTAATACACATTGTGGGATCTAAATACATTTTATTGATAAAGAACCTCACTGTCAATCATGAAATTATTTTTCATCATCTTGAAAAATAATTTCATGATTGACTGTGAGGTTCGGGAGCCAAACAGGTATTGGCTAGATGGTCGATAGTTATGAAAACTAAGGCAAGCATTTAAAGATTTATACAGATTTGCTTGATATTTTTATATTTTATTAATCACTGAATAAGAGGGAACCCAAATATTGCGCCTTCAAATGTAATTTAATAAACTACAATGCCTAAAAATGATCTTTAACTGTAGCTTACATAGTACCATGTTTGTTTTATATATGTTTCATTATATATTTTCAACAGTTTTATTCTCATTTCGTATGTTGAACAGTAACATTTTAAATATTACTATAATACCTATATAAATCTCAAGAGCACTGTCATGTCAGTTTGCTTTGCATAATAGATGTCAAAATGTCAATTGAAACTTTATGGTAGGTATTTTTTTTCTTAAATCTCTATGAAATTAAATAAGTGTGTGTGCTCCAATTTTACTATGTTATATGCGAATTTTTGGATAGATGTACGTTTGTTTCTTAATCACGCTAGAACGGTCGTATAAAATTTGGCACCAAGGTAAGTTAAATTATATACTAGGATAGGACATAGCATAGGGATTGGACCGATCGACATGGGGAAGTCGGCTCCCCCGGGATATTACTATACACGTACGCTGGACTGCATTCGTCATTATCAAAGTGAAGCTAATTATTTTTCACGATTTTGGAGCTGATAACAGTGTAAAGTTTCGTGGAATTAATATTAAGTCTGAGACATAACTTGCGATAAAAAGTATCACATCCCTACAATGATATGAATGTTTGGTGCAATTTCCTACTTTATTTGTATAACTAGCGATCTGCCCCGGCTTCATCATCATCATCAACAGCCCACTGCTGGACATAGGCCTCCTTCGCACGGGTGTAATGTAAATGTACTAATGACACCACTGGTTTCAGGCTGGAGTAATTTATTATACTATTATGATAAGATAGATACTACAGGATATCTTTGTATGCAATATTGTTAGGCCCGCTACGCTCCTGCCGGCCGCTGCCACCCGGACGGACGTACGGCTCAATGTGACGACTGCCGCTTTGCCCCCGCACTTTAAATCTTTGATATCTGCTAAGATATTCACTTTCCATCCAAAAATACAAGTAAAGTTTTCAATTAGGCACTACCGGGTTGTTCGCTAATTCTTAAAGGTTAGAATACACATTGAACAGTGTTGGGCCGGGCTCTCCAATGCGCAATTGTAGGCCAACATCGCGTAGCTATTCACACATTGGTGCATAGCTCATTGTTGCCTATCGAAACATTTGCAATGGATGTAGAAGTAATAATGGCCGCTGGCTTTTTTTTTTATTTCGTTAATGCAATATTAATACAGAGGTTACTTAATTTCAGACTATAATCTATCGCTGTGCCAAATTTCATCCACATCCGTTCAGCCGTTTTTGCGTGAAAGAGTAACAAACATCAATACAAACTTTCGCTATTATAATATTGGTAAGATAGTAATATTTAAAAATCTATGACATATTGTTATTATGTTAATTATATGTCTTTATGGATGAAACTTTCAATATATGAAAGAAATACCTACCTATCACTTTCATATTATTTGGTTATATTTTGACTAGTGTCTAGTAATAAATTATTGTTTAAAAAATCTAAAAAGCACGCGTGTTAAAAAGTGTGCTATACCGTCAGCGGTCAGTGACGAACTAAACCCTGGGTGACTGTGTAAACACCACAGGTCAAGCTACGATGCGCTTCCTTTGAAGTGTGCTCAAAAAGCCGACGACACGCCAAGATGGCCAAACGTCCGCCATTTCCCCGTGTACACATTGGCGTTGGCTTAAGTTGGTCCAATGTGTACTGGAGCCCTTAATACACCTGGTCGTTCATCTAAGTTTTCTATAAATTCTGATATTATCCTTGATAGTTTAACTGTCATTGACTTTATTATAATATAAATCAAAAAAAAAATACCAATTTATTTCTTTTTGCTATTATTAACCATCTATCTCGGCCCAGTTTGTAAAGTTAACTACAATTTTAGTAATTGAAGTTGAAAAACAGTAAAAACAGCATACAATAAAGGATATAAGTTCTAGAAAAATTGTATTAGGGAAAATTGCAGCAATTTTTATAAAACATCTTAAAAGTTCAATATCTTGAAAATGGTTGGATTTGGAATATGGTATTTCATAGTGAAATCTATAAGAAACTATGGCAACTACAACTCCTAAAAGTATTTAGGTCGACTTAACCAGTAACCCTTTATTTAGGGTATATCAGCACCTTAATAGGCGGAAGTCTAACACCTTAGCCATAAATTAGTTACCTGTATTGCTGCAAGAGAAGTATTAAATACTGGATTCTCTCTCTTCAAGGAAAGTCTTGACAATGCCGCTTCGGCTGCTGTCTTACTGGCCTCTGATAACCCAGTTCGTTTTATCTGCGTCTCAGGTCTTGAGTCTACAGAACTCTGGCTACTGATAGCAGGTTCACTTAGCTTATGACCAGGTCCAGCCAACTTAAACTTTGCCTCCACCTTCTTCTTTTGAAAGAACTTTTTTATTTTGTCAGCCATGTTTGTTTTAAAACAATCACAATTAGATCCTTGGTGTATGCTCTTTTGGCAGTTTTAGTTTTGAGACAGACTCTCTGAGCTGTTCAATTGTAGCTGAAGTTGCTGTAAAAAGAAAAGATGTTTTATTTATATTTAAAACATATAATTCAGTCTTAAAACCACATTTTAAATCATCAAGAAAAATATAATTTTTATTGGATGTTTAAGTTGGGAGTTCCTTGTAACAATAACTACTAAGTGAAATACTTGTTGTCACCCGAACTAAAATTTGAATTGCATGAATCATGGAGACTAGTTGAAAGTCCACTAGTGACCATAACTGTAACTATAATAGTAACACTTATACAAGTTTAATATATAAAATTATGCAGGTTTGAAAATATGAGGCTTTATTTCACATGTCAAATTTTATTTTAGGGTAGTTACTTAGTGTAACTCATTTAAATGTATCATCCGAAGGATATGTTTCATAAAATAGTCAGATTATAGCCAGCGCCACATGGTTGAATCATCACGATAATCAAAGGTATAGTATAGATCAAGTTCTCATCAACATAAACCGTGGCCTCACTAAAAAACAATGTAAAGCTAATTTTACATTACATTGCACCAAGTGAATGAGGTCACTGGAGGCCAAACATACACTTTCCCCCTAACTCTGGGGGGTGCACATAAACAATGGCAACTTGTCTCTTGATTTGCAAGTGTTCATGGGTGGTGGTAGTCACTTACCATTAGATGACCCTTTTGAAAACTTGACACAAACAATACCAACCCGTCTGGCCAGTGTGGTATAGTAGGCTAAAACCTCCTTTCTAAGGAGGCTACGTCCAGCTGACTATCTAAGGCTGTTGATGATGATGAAGATGAGGTACATCATTATTGTCAGATACCACCTCCACATATTTTAAATAACTGCTGCCCTTTGAGTGACCTCCCCATGGGAAAATTAGAGCAGAGGCAGGTCGAGCCCCCATAAGTTCACTTCCATGTGGTGACGGGTTAAGAATACAAAATGTAACCACCCCTATTCATCCTGTGGGTGTCGTAAGAGCCAACTAAGGGAGCAAACTACGCAAGACAACAGCACTGCAAAGAAAAGGAAAACTTGACACAAACCCTACACCAAATCGCCTCGCCAGTGTGGTATAGTAGGCTAAAACCTCCTTTCTAAGGAAAGGCCACGTCCAGCAGTGGTCTGTTAGAGGTCCTGAACAGCAAGCAGAAACTTATTAAAAGAAGAAAACTAAATAAATAATATTCTACTACATTACTTCTTAAATCACTATAATGGGAGAGAATCTCAGATAATCTACTCCAATAAGGTCTTTCATTTGATTTTGTCAATATCATTTGGTGTTTTAAAAAATTACAAGGTTTACTTACTGCATGCATCTATTCAAAACTATGTAAATATACTTTATCTTATTAAATTTTATTCATATTTCTTAACCAATTGCAAATATTTATTAGAAACGTATAAATTGTACAAAATTCTTATAAAAACTTGTAATATTTTTCAGTTGGAAGAAAAAACTGCGTTAGCAATAAATGTTACGTAAACAAATAGATATACTTTCAATATAATAAACAAGGTAGTGTAATGACTCACCTGGCTTCATAAACCTTTCAGAGATGCGTTTACCGTACACACGCCACGAAATAAAAATCAATAACAAAGTAAACAACAAAATAAGGCTGAATGTCTTCAGAAGAAGAAATTGAAATTCGTTAAAATATAAAACTTCGGCCAACTCTTCGTAGAACGTTAATTCTGAGAAATTAACTATAGATTTGGGAAAATTATCAATCGGCAACGAAGAGACACACGACTCGAAGAAATCTTTTGCGAAAGACAAAGTATCCCCGATTTGAAGATACAATGCCTCGTAAAGGGTGGAATTAAAAACAGCGTTATCGAATAACGACATTACACATAAAAATAAGTTATTTAAGTGCTAACAATTTGAAAAATAAAATAGATCATACTGAAATCTGTAAAATGTACAAACCGTATGTCACTTTGACAGTTGATCTGAACTCAGATAATAAGCACTGCTGCCATTCTCGCAAAATATTATTTAAAGCCGCTCTTTGTCAGTTATTTTGATCCAGATAAGCCCTGTGTTGTAAAGGATCGAGTGTGATTTCCAAGAGAAAAGGAAATCATACCTGGAACACTAACTCATTTCTTAACGTATATTTTGTTCTAGGGGAGAATAAAATAAAATAAAAAATAGTGAGAAAGATACAATGCATGGCCGGCCGACGAGAATAACAGTTGAGTTCTCGCTGATTTCATAGAAAACTGTTTTTTATTTTCATCACATCAAAGTTCAAAAGGAGAGGCCTATGTCCAGCAGTGGACTGTTATAGGCTGTTGATGATGATGATGATGAAAGTTCAAAATTACTTACGTGCTATTCGACAGTGAAGTCCATTTGTTTATAAGGTTGCATAATGTTTCAGGACATACTGCGAGACAATCAACATTATAAATAACTAGCGACCCACCCCGGGTTTGCACGGGTGAAATGTAGATACCAATGTGGTGTCGGTGTCGAGTTATTAATATTATTATTGTTATGATTATACCACAGACTATCTTCATATACTTACAATTTTTTTTTCATAAATAGCTGTATCTATATGAAGTAACTATGTACTAAATTAGATAGGTACATAATAAGACTGTATTGTAAAAATACATTCGTAAATAACCCTTTTTTTTTTTGTAAAATTTTAATTATCAAACGTGACTTTTTTGTAGATCGTTTATACAATTTCGTTGTTCATTATTTTGATCTATCGCCTTTGTAAAAAATAATGACAAATCTTGGCAATCGTCTTTTCTCCACTTGCATGTATCATACATTTAAACCTTCCTCTTGAATCACTCTCTCTATTGATGAAAAACAGAATTAAAATCCTTGCGTAGGTAGTTTGAAAGATTTAAGCGTACAGGGATACCATGTAAAGATACTCGTACACGGTTGCTATATTGGTTTGCTGTATTGCGACAATTTTAACTTTGTTATTACTTTTCATAACTTCAAAACGAATTGGCCTACTTGAACAATTCAAAAAGTATTTTGCATCTAAATATTGCCTTTTTATTTTAGTTGATTAATTTCAACAAAAAATGGTTATTATAGCTAAACTATAATATAATAGTTAAATAATTATACCTCCTCGCGGACTTTTTGTGCACATTGATAAACACGTTCGAAATATATCGATTTTTATATACTTACTATCAATAGTTTTTGCAACGCACGCGAAGTTAGCAGATATTTTTGTCAATTTTATATACCTGGCTTCAAGCTATCCTCATTTTTATAGGCAATTATTTATGTTTAAAAAATAAAGTATAGCCAATGTTACTCGCTGATAATGTAGCTTTATATAGCTAAAATAATTTTTAAAATTGGTCTTGTAGTTTCGGAGCCTATTACTTACAAACATACAAAAAAATCAAATCTTTCCTCTTTATAATATTAGCACCTATAGATAAAGAAAAGAAATAACTTACAGTCGAGACCTTAAGTCAACGTAGGAATAAATGAAAACAATGTGAGGGAGATTTTGATATTTAAAATTAGACTAAATACCTACGCTATGAGTGATTTATATCTTTAAACTGAAATCATATGATATGTATCAATCTTTTGGGCTCAGTGCCGTATGAAAACTTTACTTTACTATAAACACAGTATAATTACAATCCACATTATACCTACATAATTTTCAATAGAACTAAAGGTGAAATATTATTTAGTTAACAAGTGAAAAACCTATGATGCATGCTATGTATTTTCAGAAGAGTGTCGGTGCACTGACGGCCTGGAAGTATTTAATCATTTTAAACGATATAAAATAGCTGTTCTTTTTTTGGCTACAATAAAAATATTTCCATATTAATCATGGGTTTTGACTAGACTTGCAACGAATAGTATATTCGGCAGTATACCGAATACCGAATATTCGGCGAGGCCCCTGACCGAATAGCCGAATATTAGGCAAAAGTATTCGGCTGGATTTTAGCGCCAAAAACTTGTACAGACGTGAATTAAATTATGTACCTGTTTTATGTACCAATGACTACTTAGTAAATGATTATAAAAGAAATGAGAACCTTACCCTTCTAAATTTTGATTACCACAATAATTCAAATACATAGAATCCTCCATTATTCCAATTCAGAAGATGATTATGTACCTGTGTTATGCACCAACGACTACTTAAATGATTATAACAGAAATGAAAATATGAATATATACGTAATCAATCGATTTTAATTTTTCATTTTACCAATTATTCCTCAATGACAAAATATTTTATTGAAGTATTCGGTATTCGGCCGAATAATATGTAGATATTCGGTATTCGGCAGAATATAATAAAAGCAGCCGAATAGGCCGAATACCGAATAGTAACCGAATATTCGTTGCAAGTCTAGTTTTGACACTTCTAACAAATCTGGTGCAGTATAGCAGTAGATAAAGGTGCTAATTCTATTACTGACACAAATAAACTAAAATTTCCATTAAATTCTCTTATTTAATATATCCCTAAACAGTATAATCAACAAAATAGTTGGTATGTATTAAGATAACGTCTAATTTTAGTCTGACATTTCTAATTTTAGTCAATTTTGTCGATTAGAACGTACAACAGAATAACAAATGACCAATAGGGAATATGCACGTGACACCAAAATGGACAAAATATTTTTATTTGTAATTTTTATTGCTAAAAAAGATACCCATACAATTATTTTTGAAATTTATTATAATTTAATAGTGAAATTTAATCATTAAAAATTGGCTTTTTTAAGATTCCCTCGCAAATTTCTAAAACGCAACGCTATTGGTTGAATAAAGCGTGACGTCAACCTACACTGTCAAGAGTGTCAACAAGTTGTGTGTATTTGTTATATTTGGTTTCTGGTAATTATTTGTTTCATTTTAAGTTAATAACTAATACGTTTTCAGTGTTAA